CATGGTTTTTTTTTTTTTTTCCCCCCCCCCCCCCCCCCCCCCCCCCCAAAGGGCGCTAGTAACAACGCAATCTTACACGAGCGAGATCGGGATGTGATGGCTCGACTGTCTTAGAGCCGCCAGCAAAAGCTGATGGCACATTTTGCTGCCATGCAAACGAGCTTTGCTGAGACCGTGGAGGACGAAGATGACGAGATCCCCATTGACGGTACGTACCATGAGACACCCGTCGTACAGATGGCTATCGAAGAGGCGGGGTTGGTTGGTTGGTTGGTTGGTTGGGTAGTTGGGTAGTTTCGTAGTTGGTTGGTCTTCTGCGTGCGCACTGGGTTGTTTCTTCTTGTCCATGCCTTGTTTCCTAGCACATCGCATTTTCTCAAACGCACACCGCTCACAGAGTCGGAGGAGCGTGAGCTGGATCATCAGCATGGCACGCGCTTGCAATGCTTGGCTTGTCAAGTGGAGGCGCGACCTGGTCAGGCCGTTGAGCCTTTTGTTATCTTTGGCTCGATTGTGCACTCTGGGGTCCTTGCACCGCGTGTTCAGCCAGGCACGCCAATGCCGCCGGGCGGCGATTACGTGTACCGCGTTCCATTTTTGATCTTACAAACCGATACGGCTGAAGCCCATGAACTGGCCAGTGACGTTGGACAAGGTGCGTGCTCGCTCAAGCTTGTGCATTTGAAGACTCGATTCGGGACGAGCTCAGGAAGGATACGGTGCAAGGGAGAGAGGCGGGAGGCAGGCGAGGAATGGCTTTCCACTAGACACACACACACACACACACACACACACACACACACACACACACACACACAGACTCTCACTCACGCTCCTTTCTAATTCTCATTCACTACAATGCCCCCCGTGTCTCAGACCTGTTGTCAGGTACTTTCAGTCGACACGGCGAGGCTGTTTTCAAAAGCTGTGGTCATGCCATGCACTACAACTGTCTGGAAGAAATGCTCAAGGTAGCTATCACCTCCCTTTTTCTGGTGTTGCGCACCTTCCTTTTTTTTCGGGAGAAAAGAAAAATAAAAGCTATTCGGCCCAAACAAACAAAAAATCCAACACCATCCTCGCCATCCCCTTCGATTTATCGTTGCCTTTCCTTCCTTAGAATCAACGCGAACAGGATGCTCGCTTTCTGGCCCCGGACACGCTAAACGCATTGGCTGGGGACTTTTCGTGCCCTCTCTGCCGTTCCGTTTGCAATACCTTCGGTTTGTCCTTTGGCTCGTATGTCAGCACGTCATTGACATTGTGGCTTGATTGGATTCATCTCACCACAAATCTTCAACAACTTCCTTCTTATTAGTACCGGCTGTGGCACCTTCCATCGTGCGCACATGCGTGCCCGTGCAATCAGAAGCAGCAGAAAGTGGAAGTTGCGACACCCTACTAGCTACATTGGACAAGGTGCGTTGTTTTTGGTGATCTTGTCTTTCAACTATGATCGTGATCCAGCACCAGGCTCAACATTGTTGTTCGTAGGCGGAGGAAGAGCTGCATCAAATGCGCATCCACTCAGCACAGCTCATGGACGATGTGCAAGGGCAATGGCGCGCCCGGTTTGAGAATCATGCTGAACCGACACCAGAGAGTTTCCGCCGGCCCATGGACTCGCTTGAGGGGCTGGCCCACCTCGCGCCAGAGACTGACAGCCACCGTCAGGCATTGCGAGCGCACTTTTATTCAGCAGCAACCCTGGGCTTCCAAACCAGTCGCCTTCCAAACGTCATGACCTTCCAAAAGGATGGACTTTGGGCCCCGTGGACCGCTTTTTTCCAGACCATGAGCTGCACCGAGCTTCAACTGCGCTCAAGGCGCGAAACAGTCATGACTAAACAGTGGGTGATGGCGCCCGTTTCCTGTTGTGGCCGTGTGGTCATCACTCTCAGCGTAACACTGACAATCTTGGGTGCGCTTGCTATAGGCAATTTGCCGCGATCGAGCGCTTGTTCCAAGGCAACTTGGCCTTGACAGCCAACATGTGTATTCTCGGTGATTCTCTGGCGTACCTCAAGCTGGCGCGCAACATGCTCAACAGTACTGTAGCCATCCCAGCTTCAGACAACCTGGGTCGTTCTCAGGAGCGTGTGCACCTTACGGCGCTGGATCCACTCCGGGTACGCTTGCCTGCGCTCATCTTGTGCCCTGAAAGCGCAGCTGCTCCAGGCTCTGCCTCGCACGATCGGTGTCGCTCACATTGTCACTTGCTTTCCTACATGCACTTTTAGCTGGTGTACACGCTCGTGACCGTCTGCATCATGACCAAGCAACCGGTACCGTGGGCTTCATTAAAGGAATTCGCCTTGGTCGTCAGCCTGGTTCGAGTCATGAGCACGCAACCACTCGATGACTGCGAGGAAGCAGAGGACTCAGCTTTTGGGTGCGCGTTCTTCGCTTTTGCTCGGTTTCTGTTTTAATTCTGCTTTTATTTTCTTTGTTCCCGTCTGCGTGTTTGCTCGAGGAGATGAGCTCTCCTTTGGAGCTTTCTTCGCCCGGCTTGGGTTTTAGCTGCGGAAAAGCTCGTCATAATGGTCCACCAGCTGACAAAGCGGTTTGGCCGGTATCTGCATAGTGAGGCAATGGATGATGATCTGGCTACAGCCATGGCTCAGTTTGGGCGGGCCTTGCAATTGGACAACGTTTCGACCACGCTGTCGCCATCGGCAGCTCGCCGCTTGCTGCAACAGGCTGCACCCTCGTTGCGCAGTCTCTTGCTGCTTGAAACGCTTCTCCAGGTCTGTTGCTCGCTCTTGCGCCCAGTGCAGCATCAAAAGTGTATCCTAGAGGCTCACGAGTGTAAACTGGCAATATCCTAGGGCGGAACCCTTGATGTCTGGCCTTTGGAGGCTGGTAAGCTGCTGCAATCTTTGCAACTTGATGTTGGACGCCTGGGCGCCCGCATTGAGGTTGGCATGGAAGGCCATGGCTGGTATGGTCTGGCCCAGTACCTCAAGTCTTTCTTATTTGGTGAGTTTGTTTTGACCAGAGTGAATGTCGTGCGCGACTTGGAGCGTCGGAGAGGGTGGTGGCAGAGCTTTGTATGTTGCTTCACTTTGGCGGCATTCCCTTTGCAGGCGTGTCGCCCCACATGCGACTGCTGCCGGCTACGCAGTTACACTTGGTCAAGGTGCCGCCAACCTTCAATGAACTGTTTTTGGACGCTAAAAAGGCGTTGTGCCCAACTTTGCATACGCCTGCCAAACAGCAAGTGTTGTGTTTATTGTGCGGCGCCTTTGTTTGTGCACAAGGCCCTTGCTGCCAGGGACGATATCGCATCGGCGCGCGCGACATGGGCAGCATTGGTGCCTGCTTCCGACATACCATCACGTGAGTGTGCATACACACTGTTTGCTCAACAAGCCCTCGAGGCTGCGCTTGCAGCGCCGGGCCCTTGTGGTGATCGTCGTGTTGTGGTGTTGGTGAGAATTTCTCTGTTGTTCATGCTGTTGTCTTTGCATGGGGCTTTAGGTGTGGGCGGGGTACGGGTATGTTTATCTTTGTGAGCAAAGCGCTGGTCATGCTGATCAACGGCGAAGCTGGCACGTTTCTACCCGCCCCCTATGTCGATGCACACGGCGAATCTTCCACGGCCTTGGTGCGTATGCGTGTGGCAATGCTCTCTGCGGCGTGCCATCCCCCCTTTCCCACACACGCACACTCACCCACCTGTTGTTCTTTTGTATCTGACCTGGATTTCAGCTCCGCTCCGCGATCACATCCTTTGACCCCACTCGCTTCCAAGCGCTTGAGGACATGTGGCTGCGACATGAAGTGGACCGAGAAACCATGCGCGAGCGACGCCCACAAGATTTCACATTCTGGTAGTTTGGCTTTACTCAAGACATTCTGCTTTTGTTGTTGCCAAATTGACGGTCTCGAACTAAAGAATGACTCGCACGGAATCTTTCGTGCTGACTTGACGTGCAAAAGAACGGTAGTGCCAAACTTCAAACTTGTGTTGACGTGTGTGTGCTGGCTCTGAGCGTTTTTCATGAGAAGAATAAACAATCAAATGTGCTTGTGTCGAGGGGAGGCGATACGCCGCAGATGAGGCGTTGAGTCTGCATCTCACTGGTGGACCTGTTCGAAAGTCGAGTGACTGACAAGTGACCATAGAATCCACGTCACGCCCTAAAAGGCTCAGCTCACCAATCATGGCCCACCGAATACGGGAAAGTCAGCCCCACTTCCCCAGCAACCAGCAGTCAAGAAAGACCGAGTCCGAGTTATAACCCAAACGCCAGGAGTCCTCTCGGGCGCCCAACACAAGCTTCGTTACATGTGTCTTTTTCTTGACAGCTTTTTTCCAAGATTTTTGACTCCGCGGTGTCGTATTTTTTTCTTCTCCTAAGACGCACCACACGATCTGGCAGCGCTCTTGGGCCTTGTCCCTGCCATTTGCCCCAGGAGATCACCGAGTCGGATGTGTTGTGTTGCAGCCAAGGTGGGGCTGAAGCACTGAAGCCTCAACGCCAGGATCGACCGCCTGCATTTCAAACTCAGAGGCTGAGCAACCTGAACAAGATCTGTCCCGCCAGTCGTGAACCGTGCCTCAGGCCGTGCCCAAAGCCGGAAATCAACCCACCATGATGCGATCGGCAGCCGCGCCCAGATCTCCGACGAGTGGGGCCAATGAAGCCAATACGCAGCGGACCCTTGGTCCAACGAGCCAATCCTCACGGGTTGTGCCTGATAGCATGACCAATGACGACGATCACCAGTGTGCCAGTGAGCGTATCAACGCCAAAGCCGCCCCCAAGACCCGTGTCCGTCGCGATGCCAGGATCAACACCAAGTCCCAAACAAACAGCATGAACCAGGCCTCAGCCGCGAGTAGCAAGAGCCAAGACATGGTCGGCCCCCGGGGCGAGTCCGCGAGAAGCAAACCGCAGTCCCGGCGCGCGCGTGCGCAGGCCGACGTGAGCGCCAACGCCAGTGCCAGCACCAACACCAACACTAACCGAAATGTTGGCGGCAGCACCGGCGCCAGCCGCAGCATCCAGACACGTGCGCGCAAACCCATCGATATCAAAAAACCGCTTCGCGATGTCGTTCGCATGATCATGCAGGACCCCCAGGGTGCATACACTCAAACTAAGAACTTGCTGAAAAAAGTTGGGTGTAAAACCCTTGTTGCGTTTGTTATCCAGCTGGTGGCAGACCACCAGCGCGAGAGCAGCGACAGCAGCGTCCAAAGTCATCAAAGCAAAAGCCCCTGGTGGACCATGGTGCTGAATGCCTTGATGCCGATGTTGCCTCAAGATTTGAAGCGACCGATTCTTGCACTCTTCACTTGTGTGAATGAGGTCTTGAGCACGCTGTCTCCCCTACAACTCGGCGGTGTGGGTGTCCTCGTGGTCTCCGTTGCCTTGACTGTCTATGAATACCGTCACAAGATTGACTGGAGTTTACTCCTTGAAGTCGTCCAGCCCGTGTTGGCGAGTCAATTCGCGTTGAAGCCCAGTGACATGGCAAACTTGTGGGATTTCGCGTTGAAGCACAGCGACACGGTCAGCTGGACTCTACGTGCCGTGCAAACCTTCTTGTTCACGGGTTCCTTGGTACCAGCGACCTTCCAGCTGGCATCAACATGAACGTGTGGCGGCTGCTCGATCCGATCCCTGCTGTTCATATCATGAGTATTGTTGTTTATTACATCCTCGAGTCTGAAATACCTATCGTCTAGCCCCAGGCGATCATCGCCGGCATGCATATACCTCTGGTGCCCTTTTGCTTTGTTGCGTGCGAGTGCCCGTAAAGCTCCCTATGGGAGAACGAAATTAAAAGTAAAATACATTTCATGCCACTCCGATCCTCTGTCGTTCTTCTCGAAGAATGGCTATTGCCATCATCATATTTTTGGTCTCTTTAACAATACAAAATCTTTCTCGGCACCAGTCACGGTCGCCACCACAACCCTGACACTCCCAGGCCCCCCATGCATCTCCCAGACGTCTCCCACGTGTAATCCATACCCTTCCCACGGCTATATTCATGTCAAAGTGTGGTTTAAATCACACCTTTGCCTTTCCACGCGCTCACAGCTCCAGGCCACAGCACGAGAGAGAGAGAGAGAGATGAAGCAACAGCACTTTCTCCGTTCACCTCTTCCACTGGTCTTGTTGGAGGGGCGGGAACTTGTTCTGCTTGAACGAAAGATTGATTAAAACGGCAGCCAGTACCGGTATGTGAGATCGGCAATCCTCGTCGCAGCCTGTGGTGAATGCAGCTACAATGGATGGAGCGGTGTCTTCAGCCTTGGACTGAACCAGTGGTTGCACCTCCCCCCCCCCTTTTTTTTTTCTTTCAACCGCTCACATGGGCTGTGGCTATTCAGGGCTGTCTGTAGTCATCCCGTCGGTCGGGAGCTTTCCCGCTCGACTGCTTTTTGTCAAGGTCTTTCTTCTTCATCCGCCACCATGAGTGTGGTGACTGCACTTGATCCCCGCGTCCCACTGACCACGCGCCCAATGCGCGATGGTGCGTACTGCTGCCGCCGCTTGCATCCGAGTGATCGTCCTCGGCTTGAGAGCCACTGGCACAATTTCTGTGATCTCATGATCTTGGCACACCGTTGCCCCCATGTGCCACCCGTCTTGCTCAGGTGAACGCGATGGCATCAACTACCACTTTTTGACTGAGGAAGAGTTCACCAAGCTGGAAAACCAAAACGCCCTCAAAGAATCGGGCACCTACAAGAACTTCCACTACGGTGCCCTCAAGCCCAGTGCCAGCAGCTTTACCGCCATCTATGATGATGCCGCTACTGCCCGCAGTGAGGAGGGCAAGATTCTCTCGGTGAGTACTCGCGCCGATCCACTAGATATGTACAACAACATCTGTCCTCTTCCCTGCCCTGCACCGTGTTTTTCTTGTTTATGGCTTATGCCCGTCACTCCCTTCAGTCGCGCTCTCACATGTGATCGGTTTTGGTTTTTTGGTATTTTTTTTATTCCATTCTTAGGGTGCCACCAAGGCTGTCAACAAGCTGCAGTCAACCATCCTGAAGCGTGGTCCTGATGGCCACTGGAACCTTGAAGTGGCTGGCGGTCTGCAAGACGGCCAGCTGCTGCTGCTCTGGAACGAGAACAAGCTGGGTTACCAGCTTGTCAACACCATTCGCCCGCTCCAGAAGTATGACGGCATTATTGCAAGTACGTCGGTCATGCCCTGAGAGTGAATTTTTTTTTGGCACATGCGCGCTTTTTGCTTTTTCTTTCCCTCCTCACATCCGCTCTGTTGTGGTGCTTTGCAGTTGATGGACAATCAGTGGCCGGCCGCAATATCACGGATGCCCTGGATCTGCTCCGCAATGCCGGAGATATGGTCGAGGTGACCATTCTTCTTCGTGATGGCGTCACCAACCACGCCAGTCTGGATGAGTTTGTCCGCCCCAGCCCCACGGACAGCGATGAACTCAAGCATGTCAAGGAGGACGTCCGCCGTGACATTTACCACAGCACCGTGCCGTACACCACTCGCGCCCCACGTGAGGGTGAGACCAATGGCGTGGACTACAACTTTGTCACCCGCGACGCCTTTGAAAAAATGATTCAGGCTGGTGAGATCTTTGAGTACGGTGAACGTGACGGCATCTACTATGGTACTCGTCGCGTGACCATCGAGACCCAGAACGAGGCTGGTACAATTGCTGCGCAGCGCAAGAGCAAGTTCCGCCAGTCCCAGGCCCATCGCAATGCCAACCCCACCACCAGCGCCCCCAAGAAGCTGGTGGTCAAGCATGCCGGTGGCGTCCAGGCCCTGGGTGCTACCTTGGTCGAGACGTCAAACGGCGTGTTTGTCAGTGCCGTCCAGTCCCAGAGCCCGGCCTCGGCCGCTGGCCTCTCAGCTGGTATGCAGATTCTGGCCGTGGATGGTCATGACGTTAGCCACAGCACGCTTGACGTCGTTCGCCAGCGCCTGGACCAGCTTCACGACCAGTTTGACCTCATCGTCCGCTTCAACCCGCGTGCCTTCAGCCTGGCGAGCGAGGCCCTGATCAAGCAGGTGGGCAAGGACACCGTGAACACGGTGATCCTTGACCGCAATGGCAGCAACGGCTGGGGCCTTCACCTCACGGGCGGCGTCGAGGAGGGCGAGCTTGTCCACCTCGATCAGCTTGGTGATGTCAACTACGTGGCCGTCAGTGGCCGTGACCTTGAGGCCGGGGACGCGATCATCGCCATCGACGGCGTCACCGTCGCCGGCAGCTCGCTCACCCACGTGGCTAACCTCCTTCGTGACCACGAACATGACGTCGAGCTGACGGTTATCTACAACCAAGACATCACCAGCCTCAAGCTCGTTGACTTTTTCCACGCCGCCGACCCCCGCAACAAGGTCCTCAGTGCGCTCCGTGATGACGTTCGCGAAGCCACCTACCGCTCCACTGTCCCATACACCACTCGTGCCCCGCGTGAGGGTGAGGCAGACGGTGTGCAGTACCACTTCATCAACCGCGAGCAGTTCAAGCAGATGCAGCGCGACGGTCGCTTCATCGAGTGGGGTGAGCGTAATGGTGTCCTCTACGGTACCGCTACGACTGCCGCCACGGCTTCCAATGCCAAGGGACCTGCCCGCAGCATGTCCAAGGTTCGACGTGCCGTGGCCGCCAAGGAGGGTACGGCCGAGCTCGTCCAAACCGTGTTGCTTGCACGTGACGAGAGCGGCAACTGGGGCTTTGAGTTGGCTGGTGGTATTGAGGCCGGTCGTCTACTGACTGTCGTCAACGTGAGCAAGCCCCGCCAGCTCGCCTACATGCGTCCCATGAAGGAAGGTGATCACCTTCTCGCGATCAACGGTGTCAGTGTTGCCGGTGCTCCCCTGAGCTTTGCGCAGGGCCTCCTCGAGGTTGAGGGCAAGGACGTGGAGCTTACCCTCCTTTCGGCTGATGCCAAGCAAGGCGATCTCCGCAAGGTGTTTGACGCTTCCAACCAGAACCCTGATGAGGAGCTGCGTCTGCTTCAAGCCGACGTTCGGGCTGACATTTACGAGCACCGCGTGCCCTACACAACCCGCGTGCCCCGTGAAGGCGAAATGGATGGCGTTGACTATCACTTCGTCTCGCGCGAGACCTTTATGGACATGAAGACCAAGGGCCTCTTTCTCGAGTCTGGCGAGCTCAACGGCGTGCTGTACGGTACCTCAATGGTGGGCAACTCGCGCAACAAACAGCGCTTTTCTCGCATGCGCCACCATAGCACCATGCGTCGCTCGACTCGCCCTCGTCGCATCACCATCGAATGCGGTGCAGATGAACCGTTTGGCTTGGAGATCTCCGAGGACCATGCTGCGGGTGGTACGGTCGTAGTCGGTGTGGCCGAGCACGGCGCGGCCGAGCGGGCTGGCGTTCGCCCTGGTATGCACATTGTCAAGGTCGCCGGCAAGGACTTCTCCTCCCGCCCCGTGGATGAGGTGGCCGAGGCCCTCCATGATGCGCGCCAGGCCAATGGCCGTGTGGAACTGGTGACGCGCTACATCCCCTCTGTTCGCGACGCCAAGCGTACCCTCTCTTCCTCATCTGACTACGTCCCGCCCTCGCGTCTCGCCAGCTCCAGTGGAGTTGTCTTTGACGAACGCGAGGAAGAAATCCCTCCCCTCCCGGCTGCGGCCGAGCCCTCGACTTGCACCCGCGTGCATCTCTGGTCCACGCCCCGTAGCCACAGCACCGCCCTAATGTACTCCTTTGCTCAGCGCACTGACACGCGTGTCTTTGACGAGCCTGCTTATGGCCATTGGCTCAAGAAGCATCCTGATGCGAAGCGCCCCTACCGCGATCAGGTCGTGGCCGAGCAGGAAACCGATGTCGATGCTTTGGTTGCCAATGTTCTGCGCGGTCCTGTCGATGCCAACGTTGCCTTTTACAAGCACATTGCCAAGCACTTTGAGGGATTGCCCGATGACCTCTTGGATGAGGGTGTGCATGTCATTCTGGTTCGCAACCCTGTGCAGGTTCTCAACTCGTGGCGTGAGCAGGCCGAGCCCTCTATCGATGAGCTTGCATACCTCGATGCTCTTCGCATCTTCTCCAAGCTTCGTCAGCGCGGTCGCAAGGCGATTGTGGTTGATGCTGATCAGCTGCGTGTGCGGCCTGACCTGGTCTTGAGTGAGCTCTGCCGTAGCATCGGTATTGAGTTCCAGAAGAACATGCTTCAATGGCCCGAGGGCCCGAAGAAGTATGACGGCTGCTGGGCCCCCGTCTGGTACAAGAGTGTTCATCGGTCAACTGGCTTTGTAAGTTGTACGCCCATGCCCTGTATCTTTGCTTTAATCTGTTGTGTTCATGTCCGCAACGTCTCGGTGTGTGGTATGGTTGGTTGGTTGGTTGGTTGGTTGGTTGCCGCCATCTTTCACTTTTGTGAGAGCTGGGTGCTATGAGGAAGATAACCTACCTTTTCTGATTTGTGCTCGCAACACAAGTCTTCTGCTGACTCTTTTATCACCAAGATCTCTGAGCACTCAGTCGGCCTACACCAACTAATCCCAACCCCCAGCCAACCCCTATCACGTTTTGTTTGTTTGTCTGTTTGTTTGTGTTTTATCCCCTGTTCGCCTCCTTGCCCCAACTTTTCATCATCACTTGCTGACGTGGCTGGGTATCCTGTGTCCGTTGCAGAACGCCTCTGAGGAAACGCCTCGTGCCCTGCCCGCCGAGTTTCATTCCCTGGTGGAAGACTGCTTTGCGGTCTATACGACCTTGCAGCGCCATGCTTTGGGTGGTCAGCTGTCAAACTCGATCTTGGCTGCACAGACGGTTTCCGACCACGGCATCCAGATGCCTGTGCTCCCTGATGCCCGCAATGCTAGTATTTTGGCCTCGATCAACGGCGTCTTGACGCCTCGTGCCTTTGCGGCCGTGTCTGCCTTTGACTCGGCCGTTCAGGGTGGCGATGCTGTTTGGGAGGGTCTGCGCGTCTACAACGGCCGCATTTTCAATCTCGACAAGCACTTGGATCGCCTTGTGGACTCTGCCAAGGCTATGGGCTTTGCTGACATTCCCACTCGGGAAGCTATCACCCAGGAGGTGGTTCGCACGCTCGCTGCCAACAACATGCGCGACGGCGTGCACATCCGCCTCACTCTCTCCCGTGGTCTCAAGACGACCAGCTCTATGAACCCTCGCTTCAACGTGTATGGTTCGACCTTGATCGTCTTGCCCGAGTGGAAGCCTGTGGAGGGCGTGGCCACTTATGACAACAGCACTGGAGTGCGTCTCATCACAGCCAGCCAGCGTCGTAACCCGCCCCAATGCCTCGATTCGAAGATCCACCACTGCAACCTCATCAACAACATCTTGCCAAAGATCCAGGCCAACTCGGCGGGTGCTGCCGATGCCATCATGCTGGATGTGGATGGGTTTGTCTGCGAGACAAATGCCACGAACATCTTTGCCATCAAGAACAAGGTTGTCTACACCCCGGCGGCCGACTTCTGCCTGCCCGGAACCACTCGTGCCACGACCATCTACATCTGCCAAAAGCTTGGTCTGACCGTGCAGGAGCGTCGTGTCACTCTGTCAGAGCTTCATGCCGCTGATGAGGTCTTCACCACGGGCACCATGGGCGAATTAACCCCGGTGTTTGAAATTGATGGCCGCTCCATCTGCACGGGTGCCGGTCCCATCACGCGTCAAATTCAGCAGGAGTTCCGCGCCATGACCAAGGAGCTGGGTGCCCCACTGCCTGACTTTTAAGTCTGCAGCACATTGGTTGTGTCGTGATGTTGGTTTCTCGATGATAGACTTTAGTTTACATCTTGGCCTTTGATTTTATACCATTGTACTTGTCCGCAGCTGGCCCTTTTGCGCTGCTTTTTTCTTTCTTGTGATTTCTGTCTGTCTTTTTTTCTTTCTTTCTTTCTTTTTAATTGCCTCCTCTGAGCGGTGACCATGACCATATTCAGCTGTCCCTTCGCCCTCGGTTGCGTCCTTGCTTCATCATCGTGCTGATGCTGAACTTTTGGCTTGTAGACTTGTGCCCGTTCCATGTTCTTGTCAACCGGCTTGGTTTTGCGACACGTATTTGCACTGCAAATGTGCTGGCGCGCCTTTCCTTTTCGACATTTGTCCTATCAATTGAAATTTCAACAATCAAAAAAGACTTGACCTGATGGCCGGATCATGATAAGACCTCTTTTCCTTAGTCGATGGCAAGCCCTGCGTAGACCCTGCTTAGTGGAAGGAGTAGCGTTGCTCATCCATTTGGTCGTCCTCGTCTTCGGAAGAAGAGGAAGACGTTTGTTGCGAAGCTGCACACGCCCGCGAACACAACAAGGTGAGCGACAATTCTTAAGAACAAGGCGACCGTCGCCAAAAGCAACAAGCACGTTTTGAGGATCCAACATACGCAAGCCGATGGCTCGTCGGGGACCTGGACTGGATAACCCACGCTCGGCTACGCAAAGTTCAAAATGTTGTTGTTCAATCGACGCAAGGACAGTGAGCAAGGCGTCGTATCACCACAATGAGGCCGCAGAATGTAACAATGCGCTCGCACCTTGTTCATTAGCTGAGACTGCCCCTCGGCCTACCGTGCTCCAAATACGGATCGTGCCGTCGTCGGCCGCGGATGCAAACACCTCTGGATTGCATGGGTGCCAGCTCACAGCGTTAACAAGCGCATCGTGGCCCTTGAGGACCTCCAGAAGCTTATGAGACTGTCGATGCCAAAGGTAAATCTTGTTGTCTAAATGGACGACACACGCATAGTGTCAAGACCCTTGCGTCTGTGCCACATGTGCCTGATGCTCGCATGACTGACCCTCACTACCCGAAACGACGAAGCTGTCATTGAGGCCTCCAAAGCAACTCATAAGTGCAAAGCGCTCCTGCCGGTGGCTCTGGAAGGCGTGGACAACATGCCCCGCTGGCACATTGACGAGCAGGATGGACTACCCAAGAGCATAACAAAGAAGGTTTTAGACGAACAAAAGATGGGAAATGTGCAGTCAAAGTGTGTTGGCGGTCTAGGGCACGCATAACGCGCCCGCGCCCGCGCTTGCATGGTGTATGTCGCCCCGCCATGGCGTACCGAGTCGAGTAGAGATACGATGGCGTGTTGACCATCCTTAGATATACTGACGGAAGACATGCTGCTTGCCATTTGGATGTGTCGCGAGGATGGCGAGCCATCTGTGTTGATAAAGCGAAGCTGCCAATCGTCCAGTCAGTGGGCCACGTCGACGTGCAACATGAAGTTTCGCATCCAGCATGCAAGAATGCAGTTGCCTAGGGTAAATACGGATGCTGACACATACTTTCTTATCTTGACAGGCCACAATCAGTTGCCGCCCGTCGGGCGTTGCCGCTATGGCGATGGCCATGAGCCCCGTCTGTGAAATGGCGGTGTCATCCTGCAGTACGGACTGAATAACAAGTTTCTGTTGGCAGGTGCCAAGAAATCAGTTGAAGGTGAGAGGCCTGTCGAAAATTGTAAATTAGGCAACCAAGCCAATTCGCCTAGGAAAGGCATACCCCATCCGGCCCACCCGAAGCCATGCGCCCGTCGGGAAGGATGCAAACGGCAGATGGGGCGCGAGTATGACGCTGACAAATGGCCACGTTAAGACCAGCCTGTACATCCCATACGCGGATGGCCTTGTCCGTCTCGCTTACTTCCGAATAAGAAGCCAACATGGCCTCTTTGGGGTGCCATGCTAGTCCTGATACACCTACAACAGTATGTACCAGAAATGGCCCAAAAGAGTGGATGAGTCCATGGCCTCGTCCATCATGGCGAGCGGCCGGAGGAAGGCTGATGCTGCACTCACCATCACTGTGACCGTGCAGCTCATGCAGTTGTTGGTACGAGTCAGTGGTCCAGATGAGGACCCGGCTATCCCTGCAGCAGAAGTGCACGGCACACCGCACAACATTTGTCAGCTTGACGCAAGACTGACGCGGGTTGCCAAGTTGCTATTTCGGCGAGAAGTACACGTACTTGGAGCCTGTGGCCAGATAACGGCCCGTAGGAGAAAACCGGACGCACCACACCTCATCTGTGTGTTTGTTTAGAACGTGGGATACGAGGCGCGGAACACCTACGCATAGCCATACGCTGATGAAAGCTAGTCCCCAGTGGCCTTGACAGCTGCAAGAAGATGAAATCAAGAGGCTGCACGCCGAATGATTCTTGTTTATATTTGTGGGTTTTTTGGCTCTCATTTCCATACGAGTTTATTGACGTGTTTCCAACTATAGCGGGCCATACCATCGCGTGTACAATGATGGTCCTCCAACAGGGAGCATTCGTCCAGCTCAACATTGTGATACACACACTTTTGTCGCTGCAAATCGCAGGCCTGAAGAACAGCATGGCGTTAGCTTTCAGTCAATCATCGATCACAAACAGGCAGCATACAACGAGGCGCCCAAAAATGCCAAGCCAGAGTCCGAGTGATTCAAAGCCTGCGCACCTCGCGAAAGAGATGCAAGAGGCGATTGGGGGGCATGAGAGCATCAGCTGAGAAATGAGGCTGGAGGATGTGATCCACAAATAAACGCCGATCCTGAGGCGAGGCGACGAGTGAAGGGCCTGCTCGAAGACACGCAAGACGATCCCGATCTTCGGCTGATAGAAGCACGGGCACATCCATAGCACTGCCACTATTCGATGCGCTGCGAGAGTCAGCGCTGCTGCTCGAGTGAGGCCCGCGGCTTGAAGAGTGTCCATCTGCAGCAACAGGACAATGGCACCAGGGAGTAATCAATCAGACCCGTCGGCGGTTCATCAGCAGAAGCGCGTTCCATCGGCTATCCGCCATGTTCTTGCTTGGAAGAGAGGTGTGCATGGTTAAAAACGAGAACTGGCACCTACCAGAGCTGGTGGAAAGGGCAGAAGCCGGCTTGTCGCGGCCGGGACTCCCTCTTGGTTGGTTATGGCCCACAATCATGCTCGTCAGCTTATGTAGACGCTGAGCCTCCCTAGCCAATGGAAAAAAAACAGGCGGCCACGTGGCCATGTAGTGAGCTCAAGGACAGACAGGCATGCACGTGTGGCGCGGTGGCTCAGAAAGGAAAACATACGAGGGTAAGGAAAGCGTTGTCATGGTTGAGCGTAAAAGGCGAAGAGCATCCGTTGGTTGGCCCGCTTCGAGGAGGTGCAGCACGCGCTGTTCCGCCAGCAAGAAGCGCACCATTTCTGGACTAGTCACATCTGAGCCGAGATCCTTGATCATATCGTAGGCCTAGCCAAGGGATCAATGCCGGTACCAAAGGAAGTTAATGATGCTCGACAAGCCGCAGGGAGGTGCCAGGTCCACCAGCTGAAAAGATAAGGCCTGAGGGTCCTTGTGAACGCACCTCATCAAAGCATCCTGCCAAGACGGTCTCGCGAAAGACCTGAGCAGTTGGGGTGGCAGTGTCGATGCCTTGCAGCTCGAGTCGCAGAGCTGCACTGCTCTTGCTGGGCAACATGCCGAGGCCAGCAAATCATCAGAGAGAAGCGCACGCACTGTCAGACTGGAGGACAACAGAGCATGCGCAGTGACCGACAGCAAAGGCTCCACAACCAAAACCGTGGCGACTCACCCAAGTCCTTGATCATCGAGAAGCTGTAACACACAGCGCATCACCTCAATCCGCGCAAAGGGGCCTACCAGGCATGGTGCAGCGGAAAAGGCCATGCACATTCGATGAAAGGCAGCAGGCTGACACTCAAAATAAGGCAAGCGCATTCGCAGCGCGTCCAGCAAAGGCCTTTACCAATGCGCGCCGAGCTCTCGGGCGTAGGTGTGAGGCCATTCTGTCCGGCCACTTTCCGGGTCGACATCGAAAACGTTGTCTTGTGACCTAGCCGTGCATGGCCACGAGGCGAACGAAATAGCAGAAGAAGGAAGGAAGTGGCAAAGAAGTATGAAAAGGAGGCGAGAGGCCCACCTAAAACACAGCACACAATGCAGGTTGGACTCTCCAACTCACGCTTATGGTCAGGTGCGCGAGGTTCGTCTGGCCCGGAAGCGGCCGGGCGCTTGGCCTCGGGGCGGGTCGTCTTGTCGGCCGCAGCAAGATCCTTGTGCCGGGGAATGATGAGGAGTCGTCGACGCGGCACGACCCAGACCCTCACAAGGGGGTCCTGGGCAGGCCGCAGAAACCACGATCCAAGAGGCTGTGCCCAAGCACGCTAAGCTGATTGCAACACGAGATGGCCTGCAAGCCACCGCGTCCGTCAGCGTTCGAGGCAGGAAGGAGACTGAGGGCTTTGCCGCTGGATCTGCCGCGTTCACAAGCAAATGCGCACGAAGGCTGCCGACAAGACCACAATAAGAGACCAGGGCACACCATGAGACACCGAACGAACACAACCATCTACCCACCCCAACTCTCCCAGCCAACCAGGTATCTGTATCAAGCGCAAGCAGGAGGGAGCAAGAGCGCGCACGAGAGCCGCCGCTGCCGTTTTCCAACCCCCAAAAGGCCACTGACCGGATTCGCAAAAAGTCAAATGCAGATACGTCACACACCTCAACAACTACAACAACAACAACTCTATCAATCACTACAAAATATCTCCTTTAGTTAAGCTTATATTGCCTTTGGAGGCCGCAACAAGGTCCCAAGAAGCAACAAAAGCACATGGTAACGCGAGAGAGAGAGAGAGAAAGAGAGACAGAGCGAGCCAGCTTGTGATGTTGTTGGTACATGTAACTGTGGGTGCTGAGGCGATTTGTCGATCATCTGCAGGTGGGGCACGCGTCGATTTGGCAGCCATGGCAAGCACACACACACACACACACACACACACACACACACACACACATCCATGTCACATCACTGCCACCATCACCAGAAATGGTTCGGCGAGAGCTAGACCCGCAATTTGCAAAAAGCATGAGAAGAAAGCGATTGTTACGACACGAATACTTCAAAGGGTAAGGTATTGCCCTAAGGAATCTCAAAAGGGAACAAACAGCGGCACACACACAGCTGCGGCAACAAGATGAGAGGAGAGGAAAGCAGGTGCCATCCGTGGCAATGCTTTCATGAGAGAGCACGGAAAGCACGGATGGTTGGTCGAGTTGAGGATCCAACCGGATACCGAGGCGCTCAGCTTAGGACTGGACCGTGCAGTGATAGGAGTCCGCATCCCACTCGCAATAGTCACGATCCTTGCAGGGCCCCTATCACCATCCCAACGACGGGAACAGCCCCGTGCACAGCAGTACGAGTTAGAAGCAGCTGCACGTGCTGGCGCCAAGCAGTAGTATGGCGAAGCAACCCGGACAAACCTGGTCGTAGATTTCACCGCAAGGAACCTGACCGCCCTCTGGGTAGCACACATTGGCATCCGTTGCATAGGTGCAGCGCGCTAATCACAATTCCGGCAGGCATCCAGGAGACAAATGCGGGCCGTTAGAGGTTGGCATGAGCACCAGGGACCCCACCATATTGGCCAAATAATTGATGCGCACGGGGACACCGCCTACGATCACGCACAGTTGGGACACTCCGTCTCCATATAGTTGAAGACATCGCAAGGAATGGGCTGACCCTTGTCAAAGCTAGAAGGAAAACGAGTGTGAACCGTCGGCTGCGCACAGCCCCAGCCTCGGCCAGAAAGGGTTCTACACCAACGAATATCCGTACCAGACCGAGTAGGAGGCGTTGAATTGACAACCCAGACTGCTCGACTCGCAAGAAGTCTCATCGTACAGATCCCGACAAGAAAAGTCCCGGCAGACATCTGTAACGCCCGGCCAAAGTACACGCCAAGGTGTGAACATGTCGTGATCGATGTCCTAACCGCTCACGCCAGTATGTTCAGAGGCAAGCCCAAAAACGAACCGAGATTATAATCGTAGACACAGCGGTTCTCGGGGCAAGTACGCTCGCCGTAGGTTCCACACTTGCCGCCGTCGTCGACATAGCAGGTAAAGGTACTGCTATCCCAAGAACAGTTCAGCCCCGCGCCCTCACAAAACGTTTGGTCATAAAAGTCATTGCAGGTCTACGCGTCCAAAAGCAAACATGTGGCCTGTGATGCAGGGTAGCCCTTGTGCACGCGTGCAAGCTCTAGCTTCACACACACACACACACACACACACACACACACACACACACACACACACACACACACACACTGCACTCTACACTGTCGGGCACCTACGCGCGCTGTGCACTCAAACTTCTTGCCATCGGCCGTGTACCACTCGCAACGGTCGTTTGGACAGATGGACTCGTGCTTGTAGGACGAGCAGGCGGCACCCTAATTTTTTTTGACAGGCATCATAAACATCGTGAGCCCGAGACACCAGAATGCAAACGCGAACGGCATTGTTCTACACTGCCGGGGCCTTGAAACTGACCGTATCGTTGTAGCACATGCTAATGTCCGCCGCAAACTGGCAGCCTGGCATGACATTCATAAGCACAGTCGGCACGTTCAAACGAAGGCATGGCACAGCAGCGCAAACACCAAGAACGCCTTACCCATGGAGAGACAAGTGGCTTTTTCAGAGATGTCTGAGCATCCCAATTGCTGGCAGGAAAAGTTGTCGTCGTTGTCCCACTCACTTGAGCAGCGCGTGGGTGGGCACGTGGCCTCGGTGGTATGCGTGTTGCAAGGCTTCCCGTCGTCTAAAAGACAGGCCATGCCCCAATGATACGCAGGCGCAACCAGAGCCAAACATGTGTTGTTGAAGCCATGCTGGTCATGCCCGACCTACCCGTGTAGCAGAAAAACTGTGCATCGCTGTATTCGCAGCCAGCTGCGAGACAGGCTGTTTTGTTAGCAATGTCACGGCAGGCCTTGTTGGTGCACACGTTCTGGTCCTGATCCACTGAGCAACGGGCCGGACACTTGCTGGCCGAATAGCTTGAGCACGCGCCTCCAGAGTCTTTGCCTACGCGTGAACAAGAATATTGGGGGGAGACTCGCAAACGTGAGACGTGTGTCCATCGCCATCCACACAAAACTGCGCGCCAGGAAAGTCAACTAATGTGATTGGAGTCATACCAGCACACTCGTAATCTTGCGCATCCCACACACAGTTGGCTTCGCCTTGACAGGCGCTCTGCTGACTGAACATGGCGCATGGAATGCCTTCCTTGGTCTCGTAGCACACGTACAAGTTTGCATCAAAAGAGCATCTAATGGCAGTGGGGGATGTCAGTGCGCCGACAAAACGACGGTTCAGGACTTGGCAAATGGTCTACCCGTGCAATAGACACTCAATGCGAAGCAGAACGTACCCATCCATTGCATCGCACATGACCTGATCAAAAATGTCGCTGCAAGATGAGTTGTGGCAGATACCTTCCGCACGACCAGGACTGGTATAGGAGTAGGTGCAGCGAGGATAGGGGCAGTCTGCTTCGCCGTATTGGCTGCACGCATCGCTGCCAGGTGCCATCGTGGTGTAATTCTACGCTCAAAGATAATCCCGTGGCAACACCAAAGGACCAAGTGGGTAGCACCGCAAAAGAAGCGCCATGAGCCAACCATCAAGCTCAAAGCTGTTACATTTGATCGGCTGTTTTCAAAGGCACGTACGCCACAACCCGACTCGGGGCATTCAATGCACATGTTGCCTTGCCATTGGCAATAGGTCTCATTTTCACAGGTTCCCTCTTCCACAAAGTAATCACAGGGCACTGGGTCGTTCTTGCCCTACAGGCATGGCCATACATGCAATAAATATGTCACAGCCCGATCAGCTGAACTAGGTGGCACAAACGCTGATGGGATTAGGACGGCGGGCGGTGTTTGCAACGAGGAGACCGTACGGCACAAGCATGGACGGTAGAAAACCATTGGCAGTCGGAATCGCCAACACAGGCAGCCTCGTCGACCAGATCAGCTGCGGATGGAAGGATCAGTGGGGATGCGTGAAAACATGTGGTGAATCCTCACTTGTGCAAGGCAACACAATCTGAACTGAAGCAGTTTCGAGGTTGTGTCTTATGATAAAAACACAATTCAAAGTACAGAAAAGGCAAGGTCTCGTTCGAGAAGCAGAATAACAAACAATGGAGCCAGTGGAGAGCAAGAGAGAAGAAGCAAGCAAGCGTACCGCAGGCACTGCCGGGGTCTGCGGTGGGGGCGGCGGGACAGGTCACGTTGGAGCAGGAGGTCTCTGAATCACAGCGCAGGCAAAGGGAGCTGGAGCAGTTGCGGAAGCATCCGTTGACGGGGCTGCAGTCCGCCGAGTTGAAATAGAAGGAAGAGCAGTCAATGGGCTCGTCCTTATCCACACAGGCATTGTTCTCGACCTTGCAGTGATCGGCGGGGCAAGTTGAGATGTCAAAGTAATCGCCACATTCAACCCCCAATTTTGAGTTGTAGCAGCGCGTAAGCGCAGAGTCCCAAGAGCAATGGTCAGAGGGACAATATGACTCGTCCCCGAAGCTGAGAAATTTGAGGAGTGAAAGAAAGGGAACCCAACGGGATCAGACAGCCAGGCTGGAAGCGGGGCTAGCCGGAGAGGGCAAAGCGGGGGTGACTGTGGGCCACGTACTTATCACACCATACAGGTTCGTTGATATTGAGACAAACTCCGCCAAATTCCGACGTATTGACTAGGTGGCAGCGGTCAGTTGGACATTGCTCCCAATCGCTGACAAGATGGCAGGGAAGATCCAAGTCCGAAGGCCAGCAGAGCTCGTCGGTGGGGTACCAAGTGCAGCCCGTGGAGGAGGCGGTGCAATCAGATTGGTCATACATCTCTGTGCAGGCCGTTGCCTGGGAAACAAAATCCAAGCGTGCAGTGCGGATCGGTGAGAGACGGTCTGCCACATTGCCTGGCACGGTGCAGGGTGGTCATGTTCAGCATGGCAGGCGAGACCTGAAGCTTGTTCATGCACATGCCATTAAGCATGACGCAGCGGTCGGACGGGCAGGTGGAGTCGGAGTAAAAAGCCATGCATGGCACGCTGTCGCCCTTGGGATAGCAAAAGCCCTACCAAAAAGAAAAAAAAGCGCACGCATGAACGATGGAGCAGTTCAAACCAGCCAGAGAGATTAAAGAGCAGGACAGGATCGATCGAGCCGGTTTGGGACGGCGTACCGTGTTGTCATCATAGCTGCAGCGATCGGTGGGACAGTCGCGGAAAAACTCGTAACAGGAAACGCCTTGGTTTTTGTTGTAGCAAACTTCAATGTCCCAATCCCATTCGCAGGGTCCGACAGCATAAAGGCTCTCATCGCCCATGCATAGGTTGTGTTCGGTGTACACGGCGCAACTAAAGTCTTGACACTCGTACACCTCATAATTCCACAGACAGGACGTCTCCGCCTACCATGATGACACGTGCATGAGGCTGCTTGCCAAACGTATTAACTGGTTGCTGCACTATGTGCGCAGCGGTCGTGTGCTCGAGGCAGGTGCGATGTGGCCCGCTGCATCAAGAAAGCATACTTGGCAATAATCACTGTTGAGGGACTTGCAATCCACGGCGTGAGTGGGTTGCACTACACCGGACAGTAGCCAGATGGCAGCCACTGGCGCAAGCAGACCTATTGCCCCCGCGCACCGGCAAATGCACGTTGAGCTTTAACCCCCACCATCTCGGGACTGGCACCACCACCACCACCAACAACAACAACAACAACAACAACAACAAGACAAGAGTTCTCGATGTCCTGCTTGAACAACAAGCCAAACTGACTTTGCACGATCATGATCCCGGTTGATACCAGTGCCCCACGAGCACGAGGACCACGGATCTGTGGGGGTTGGATGGACACAAGTCTCCAGCAGCAGGCAGTCCAAAAAGCCGCCGTAGCAAGCGATCAGTCGATCAGTCGGAGTCACACACACGCGCGCGTTGGAAAAAAAAAAAAAAAAACAGAACATCACACAACGTTTCAGAGATACACGCCGAGTCTGACATTTCCTGAGAGAGAGTCGCAAACGTTGACCAGATAGTAGTGATAAACCATTAGGCAAATAAGAGAACAGCAAGAACCCGCATCACCAACAAGAGATACACCGACAACTCTCTTGTCAAATGATATTGTCAGAATTTGGTTGTCAGCAACAAGTTGAGCCGGAAAAAAAAAAAAATTTGGCAGCGAGCTACGCGAGGCGCGCCGCGGGAGGAGAGGAGTGACGAGAGAACGAGGTTTTTGAACCAAGGCAGATCAGCGGCGATATGGAGGTATGTGATGCATACGCTTGAAGCCTCACTTGGACCCACGTTGCCGTGGGCGCTCGTGCTGACACCGTGGGCGCGCAAATTGTGGACTTAGGCCGACCAAGAACGCGACGACGATCAAGTCGTGATGGCCATTGACACGGGCCTGGTCGAGAATCTGGCAGCCAGCACCACAGTTGCTGACCGTACGTGAACGCCAATGATCCTGATTCTCAACTGCTGATGACCGTACTTTCCATGTTACTCGCCGATTGACTCAACAAATGTGACGGGATCCGATAGCCGTGGAGCTGGTCATCACGCTGCTGGACGGCACCGAGGTTCCCATCACTTGTTCAGAGGGAAAGCATGCGCCAGCCGAGAGCATCCGGGTAAGTGTCAAGGCGAGGCTACCCGCGAGGCCCCCGGTTCTTCTCTGCCATCCCTCCTGATCAACACACATCCCGTTGGCTATATTGATCAATGGCTAGGATCTGGTGGCCGAGCGCTGCAAGATACCCCCAGAGGACTATCGCCTTTTTGCCATCTGGGTGGCCAGCGATTCACTCCGTACGTCCGACTGGCGCCTGTTTGACATATGCATGATATTTGCTGAACCCCAGCTGCACCGTGACCCTCTGCAGAACTTCAGGTCAAGGATCACCAATCGCCCATCAAGGTCCTCAAGGCCTGGCCCGAGCTGATTCATGATTACACCCAGTACGAACTTACACTGCCTGACCCAATCGCGAAGCTTGGATGGCTTATTAAGGTCAAACACTGCCATGCCTTTTTTGTGCTACGCCTGCCCCTGAACCAGAGTGTTGGCCGACGATGAGACGGAGCTGCCCGTCATTTACTTTCGTCGCCAGGCCCTGGTGCACCTGGCAAGTACCTCGCAGCTTTGTCTCCTCTCAACGTATTCTCGCACCGCCGTTGCTGCACGCCTCCCGTGGCGGTACCATTGACAGCACTCTACCACGGCTGACCATCGACCCATATGTGCATGCGCAACCTAGGGCCATGAACGCGCCACCGAGGACGTGAACACGCTCACCATGCTTGTCCGAGAGCTGACATACAATGTTGTGCGTCGGCTCGCCTCTCTATCTGTCCTTGTCACCTCGCTGCTCTCGACCAGGTCACACTCAATCTCACCTTACTCACTGGCTGGCGCAACCCATCACTAGGTCTACTCTTTGTATCCAGTCGACCGTGAATTGGCCGTGTCTCTGGCAGCAATTCACCTGCAGCTTGCATGCGGGCACGAGGCTACCAAGGATGACGTCGAGTACGCCCATCGGTCCTCTCACGCCGAGCGTTTTAAACCCGCCTTGCCATTCGCTGGTGCTTTGCGGCAGTCCAACCCCATCTTTGTTCGTGCGAGATAGTGACATCGAGGGTTGTCTCATGCCGCCTCACCTCAAGAGCTTCATGGTACGGGTTCTCGCTCGTGATTTTCTGCGTGTTTCTTCTTCACCCGCCCTGGCTCTCCCATTACGCATCCTCACACCTTGACATGGTGGGTGGCTTAGAATGTCTTTCGCCCTTGGCGCCAAGCCGTTCTGGCTGCGCGTGCTGAGCTCACCATTTCGCCCGATGCAACCTTTGAGTTGATGCAGCGATATCTCGAGGTTAATCAAAGTCTACTTCCCGTGTTTTGTCAAGGCCCGGTGATTCTGACTTGTTTTGATATCTCTTTTTTGCGTCGCAGCTGGGTCGCCAATCGCCGCTCTATGCGGCAGTCTTCTTCTTTGGGCAGCTGGAGCAAGATCAGACCGGCATGACGCTACGCGAGCGTCCCGACATTGTATGTTTTACCTCACGCTGCCGAGTGACCTCAATCAAGCAACCAAGTCAACATCTCACTGGGCTTCTCCAATTTGCGCGGCCAACGTGACTCAGGACGTGCGTGTGGGCGTAAATTTGGATGGCGTCCATGTAGTGGATGATAAGCACGACAAGCTTTTGTACAGTCTGACCTTTGCGGATTTTGCCTACAATCTATTTGAGGATGAGGAAACGTATGTGCTCTGTTCATGGCGCGGCTTTTTTTTTCTCACCCAGTGTTTGGCCTCACCCAGGATCCGTCATGTCCATGTTGCAGGGGCGAGGCTTGCTTCTTAATCGAGTACGAACGTCCCGATGCAGACCCAGATACCGCTCCCGAAGAACGCAAAACCATGCTCCACATCTGGAGCAAGCAGGTATGCCCGGCGCCGGCAGTCCGCTCCGAGCTGTCAGTTGCGCAGTGTGTGATTCGCAATCTGGTCCAACGCGTCGGTCTGCGCAGGCGGAGTTGCTGGACACCCTCGTATCAGAATTTGAGCCCATTGTGCTGGAATGGCAACATTTGTGCGCCCAGCGCGCTGCCGAGCATGGTAAGCGGACACCAGACTGGGTTTTCCCGCTCAACTCTGCCTTCTCGCTCTTCTTTTTCTTGCTCCCTCCCGGCTTTCTCTCACCAGATGGTCATGGGGCCGATTTTCTTGTGCCTCGCACCATCACCCTAGGCCGAACCATTCGTGCTCACAAGTGGGGTGGGCGCATGGATAGCACGGGTACGCTTTTAGCTGCAATATGATAGAGGACGGTCTGCGCGATGTATTGTCTATTTGCGCTGCTATTTTTGCATATCGCTCTTTCACACACTTACCCGTCCCTTGGTCACAAACATGATATCATCTTCGTGTCGTAGAGGGACGCTACGAAGTCCAAACGATGCGTCGTCGACGCGGTAGGCCCATTTGTGCCCACCTGGTGCTTATGTGCCAATGCTTAAAAAAATTGCCAGGCTGACCAATTACTCTTCTCCATGCTACAGATTGGCTGCCATTTGAGGCCAGCTTCCGTCGTCGCCCACGCGCTGGAACCGCTACCGCTGGTCCCCAGACGCAACAACCCGCTGCTGTGGCCGCCCCACCAGTGGAGCTTGAACAGCGATCAACTGAGTCGGTCGGTGGGCTGCTGGACAGCAATGGCCGTAACGTCAATTTCCTCTTGCTCATGCTGCTCGGTCTTTGGCACCCTGTAGGATGTCTCCACGACGCAGACAGTGCAAACTGCTGAGCTGTAGCCTTTGCCTTGGACAGATGGCAAAGACCCAACTGCGCCAGCTGACGGCCACGACCCCATGTCCATACACGTGTAGATGGCTGGCCATGACTGCTTATTGTAGCCATGTGAAAGAGATGTGCATGAAACGCGTTTGTGTGCAAATTATTGCATCATTTTTTTGACAATGTCATGTTAATCCATTTCAAAAAAATATACATGTACACGGGATAATCAAGACACAGAGGGGGCTCGGCGCAAACAGGATCAAATTAATCGCGCTTGCGCTTGTCACCGCTGACTAAGCCTACAACGCATCGGAAGAGGGCGCGCAACGTCCACAGCAGACCACCGACCAGGGTTGCGGCCAAGGCCAGCCAGAAGCAACCGACATCCCAACCCTGGTTGATGTACCACGGGTGGCTGTAGGAGGGCATCTTCAGGAAGTGTGCTCCCTCATACTTGATCGCGTACTCAATCCAGTCAGCCGCCTGCTCAACAGGAGTGCGCGGGGTGTCGCGAATCACTGAAGACACCAACTTGGCGTTGTATTGGTATCTAAATTGGTCGTCGAGGCGGGCGGTGAGACGGGTGCTGGCAAAGAACAGCAGAACCTCACGAGATGGCAACAGTCGAAGCGTTTAGCGTACGTCGGGTTGTTGAGCAGCAGGTCAAGGTCGGCCACGAGGGACTCGGTCGTGGCTGTGTCCTTGTCCACCGAGATGGCCATGCCGCGCCACACTGCGCGTGCAACGTTATCCCACTGGTCGAAGGTGGAGCAAAAAGTGAGTCACATATCTCGGTCGGGAGTGTGCGAGTTTGAATGGGCCCTGAGACGGGTGATTCGATGGTAAACAACGGGGAGGACGCGTACCTGATCGCCGAACAAGGGGTAGCCGAGGATGGGGACGCCATGGTAGGCAGCCTCCAGAATGCCATTGGCACCACCGTGAGCGATGAAAAGCTTGGTGTTGGGGTGGCCAAGCAGGTCATTCTGCGGAATCCACTTGCTCAACTATACCATGAGGCATGCGTAAGCATGAATGAGAATGCATGCCGTGAAAGGAGGTGTCACTGAAGCAGGAGCTGCGGGCATGATACTAGGCACGCGAGCAAAGGCATACAATGGTGTTCTTGCCGACACGCGGAGCTTCGCCGTTGTACTTCCAAATGACCGTTTGCTTGAGAGTGGCCACGGCATCGGCAAGCGCTTGGGCTTGTTCAGGTTTGAGACGTGCGAGCGTACCAAAGGAGACAAGCACGATGCCATTCTTGGCCTAACATGCATGAGCAACGAGGAAGGGGTCGCGGAACAGGGCAGCAGAGGTTGAGAGTGCGTGCCATGTCGCAGAGCAACCTGCTGCAAGCGGAAGCAGCGGCGGCGGACGGGACAACCAAAAATTGTTGGGACTGACATTTGCAACAATGTCTGAGAGTTTGGGATCTTGCGCAAAGGGGAACGCTGCGGGTTCGGGCAGGATGGGACCAATCATCTTGCAGTTGGGCGGCAACTGGCGGGGGAAATCAAAAGCCGGGGAAGTGGGGAAGAGGACAAAAGAGGCGTTTTGGAAGCTATCGTAGAGCTTGACGCCAGGTCGGAAGCGCTCGTTGAGATCATGGATCAGGTCCTCCAAGAAGCCGTGGCGAGCCCAATATTGCACTGCCCAGCTGATGCTGTTGAAGAGGCGCTGACCAAAAGTCATGTCTGGGGTGAACTTGGTGCCCATTTGCGGCACGGTGGCCCAGGGCTGCGGGATTTCATAAGGCGCGGACATGAAGGGATCTAACATGGTTGGGGAGGTGTGTGTGATCATGTGCGTGGTAAGGATGGAGTATGGGACGGGGCGTATCAAGCCGGTGTCATCCAGAAGGAGGAGGGCGCAAGAGCAAAAAACCCCCACCCAGCTGCTCGTACCATAAAAGTTGACGGGTGAGATGTCCACGCGGATGGGGATGTTCATAGCGTAAGAGTAGATGACAGAGCACAGATAGGCTGGATCGACCTGGGACGCAAAATGGTAGGCACGGCCCGTCAGCAAGAACGCAGCTTGGTGGAGTACAACCCGACAAAACAGCATGCAGGTCAAACGAGTGTGGATGGACGAGGATGGTCAAGGCAATGTTGTTGTGACACCGAAGGAGGCCGTCAGGAATCAGGCGCCCTTGGATAAGTCCAACATTTGATCTGGCATGATCATACAAGAGCAAAAGGCCAGGACGGTGCCGAAGCACCAGGCCATGCTCACGACAAACTCATGCGGTGGGTGGAGGTCGAACAAGGGGTTGGCCGGAGCAGACTGAGCTGGGTACCGAAATGACTCACCAGAGCCACATCCATTGTCTTCATGAGCTCGAGGAGTTTGGGTTCTTCAGCAATGCGCTCGCAAATGGCGGCCTTTTCGCGCAGGATCTTGAGAGCGCCTGCATTCACACCATCACCGCCATTCGTTGGTGAGTTGTGCCGGAGTGAGGTGAGGCGAGGCGAGGCGAGGCGCGTATGTTGACCATGGCAGGGAAGCAGGCTACGTGGCCGCATGACAGCGGTAGGTTGACGCAAGGGTTGGAATGCATGTCTAACCTTCGAGGGGCTCGTCATCAGCGATCTCAAGGACATGGGCGGCGTAGTGCTCCTTGGTGGAGTTGAGCTGCAGCGTGTGAACGTTGAGGCCCGTCGTGTCGACTCGATCGCTGTCGACGCTGGAACGCACAAAGTGAACCTAAAGATGAAGGAGAGAGTGGGTGAGTGGGGCAAGCCACCTGCGTCGCCGGGTGAATCGATGCAAAGGCTCGTACCTCGTGACCTCGGGCAACCAGCTCGCGCCCGATCTTGGCAAGGACCATGTGGTGGGAGGTGGCAAAAGGCAGGCCCTGCATCAGGATCTTCTTTGGGGTAACGCGGCGACCCGTGGCACCAGCGGTGGCCGGTGCGGACGTGGTCGTGGCCGGTGCGGGCGTGGTCGTGGCCGGTGCGGGCGTGGTCGTGGCCGGTGCGGGCGTGGCCTTGGCTTGGGTGGCCTTGGCTTGGGTGGCCTTGGCTTGGGTGGCGGGGTCAGCCAGAGCCAGGGCCAGGGCCAGCGCGGCCAAGGCCACAAGGCAAATCAAAATGCGCGCCATGCCCTAGTGACCAGTGCCAGGTGGGCCCGAAAATTAGTTCAAGCCGCAGTAACAACTGTTTGGCGTCACCAACGCTCCGGAAATGCATTCGCTGCCATCCTGATATGTTGCCATCATCATCGCCGCTGCCATCCCCTCCATCCCTGTAGATTCCCCATCCCTATTCCCCTCAACCATCCCCATGATCCCCATCACCATCACCATCACCATCACCATCAGCTCTCTGATTCACCTCAGTTCAGTCCAAAAAAAGGGAAAATGCACACCCACGAGGGTCTTAAGCTCTCTCTCTCTTTTTCAAGCTCTTTCTCAAGCTCGCTCTCTCTCTCTCTCTTGTTCCCAGTTGTTGTTACATGTGGTAGTTGTGCTTTTCCTTTGTGTCTTTGCTCTTTATTCCTCTCTTTCTCAAACCGACCAATTCATCTACCTTTCTCTCTCTCTCTTTTACCTCTCTCTCTCTCTCTCTCTCGCTCTCTCTCTGTCTCGCACTTTTGTCTGTTGTTGCAGTTCACGCGGCTGGCCCTATCTCTCGATGTGGCTGATGTCTCCTCCAAGAAAAAGTCTGACAGTTGTCGCTGACAACAATTACAAATTGGGGGTGTTGTGTGTATTTTGAATGCCGTGCGTTGCAAGGTTTGAAAAAGCCGCCGGCAACTCGATGCGATGCGAGCTCGATCGACACTGCGCCGATGCCATCGTTGTGCTATTGTGCTCGGGGTGGGGCTTTGTGAGCTGATGATCCCTGCCTTGTAGTGAGTTTGGAGCGACGAGTAGGGTCTGGTCCAGAGGGCCAAAGCAAGCAACGTCAACATGGCCGTGGTCCCGCTGCGGCTGGCAGGCCTGGCCCTACTGGGCCTGGTCCTGGCTCTCACCGCTGCGCACAAACCCGTGCGTGTTTGCTCCTCCCCTTGCGCTGTGTTTCGGTCCTTGCAATCTTCTCAACGAATGGGTTGCCGAATCTTGCTCGCACCGCCCGCTCGGCGTTGCAGGTACCCAACACGCTCTTTGGCAGCTGGTACTTTGAGTTTAATGGCGCTGCTGGTAATGGCACCATGACCGATGCCGTCAAATACCTCAATTACGTGTACGTCTCAACGCCCCACCCTCTGAGCTGACCGACACGGCTTGTTCTTACCTCACCCTCTACCCACCGCCCTTCCCCTTGACCCACATATGCAGGGTGCTCTCCTTTGTCAACCCAGCCAATTTGGAGGACTTTCCCGCCATCTTCCTGCAGATGATGCCCACCCTCAACACCTCCCACCTACTTCTTGTCAGCATTGGCGGCCAGACCTGGGACAACAAGTGCGTCCTTCCGACACCATCATCCTGCCACTCTCAAATACCCATCAAGCACCCCCCTCACTTCCCCTCCATCTTCTTGCTGTGGGGCGTTCTCATTGTTTTCTCATCGCGCCCCACGCCCTTCTTCCCCGGCGCTGGTGTCTTGGCACATCGTAGCTGGGGCTTTTTGAACAGCTCCGATTCGGCTCAGGCTGCAGGAGAGCTCGTCGCAACCTGGTCCAAGTTTGTTCAATGCTCAACTGCCCGTCATTTTTATTGCAACAGCACACATCCCCATCTTCTTTCTGACACCCTAACCATTGCCCCCGCTCCCTTCTCTCCCCCCCTCGATCGTAGGTATGGCATTGATGGCATCGACATTGACGCTGAGGTAAGAAGCCTTGCACCCACCTGTGACGGTCTAGACCAACCTTGTCCCACTTTTTCTTACCCACGCGCATGATATCCATGTCTCGACCTTCTGTTCCGTGATTCGCAGGGCCCAGCCTTGACAACCTACCCCGCCGAGAACTTGGTCGCGTTTGCTCAAGCCAGTACGTTGCTTCAGGCCTTTGCACCTGTAACTGCTGCTCGTTGGCAATTACCCTATGCTTGCCAAGTCTGCATCTGATGGCCGAATCCTCCCTGTGTGGCCTCTGCGATTGCATAGTCAAAACCAACGCCCCTGACTTTTTGATCACCCTCGATGTGTATGGCTGGCCCGGTTCGAACACGCTCAACACCAACTACATGATCAATAATCATCTCAACGGTGCTGGCGTACGCGCACCGTTCTCTCTCTCTCTCCCTCTCTCTCTTTAGCCTTCTTCTCGCTGCCATGATTTTTAAAGGCGACTTTCCAAATCTCACACTTTGGTCTTGGCTATTCCATGCCTCGACCTCCCTACTGGTAGCCGCGACTCATTGATTGGATCCACATTATGGCCTACGCGGGTGAGCTCGACGACAAGACATACATCTCCTACTACACTGACGCGAGCAAGAGGTGGGTGTTGAACATGGCCCAACGGGGGTGTTGATGTCCGGACCTCGCTCCAAAGTCTTCTTCACACCTTTGCACAGCACTTACCTGCTACAACACGGCTCGACCTGCAGTCCCAATGGAGCCATCAACCCAGGCGTGCCCATGGATTCCGTCGTCATTGGCATGAAGGCTGCGGCCGGTACGGAGCCGTTGTTGGCGAATGTGTTGGGTGGTCCTGCAAGATTCCGTTGATGCTCACGCGCCCTCCCGCCATGCATCAGGCTTCAGCTCGTGTAACCCTCCAGACTACTCGGACATGGTAGACTACGTCAAGGTATGAACAGCCTTTCCGTCGAGGTTGACATGATAAAGCATGCAAAGCACGCAGCGCCGCCTCCACATTCCCCTTTTCTCATTCCGTTCCAATGGGGGCGTGGATGGGATGCGCTTACGTAGACAAACGGCATGAAGGGCGTGAGCTTATGGGCCTTTGCCAACAGCAACGGCAACATCACGCTGCCTTGGTTCAACGACACTTGTGTCTCTGGTTACTCAACCCTCTGCCAGGGTCTGGTAGATAACTGCATGTATTGAGTGGGTCTTTGTTGTGCCCTCGTACTGCACGCATCCCAAGACATTGTTTCGTGATTGTCAGCTCGGCTAACGGCGAGGGCCTCAGCCGAGCTTTGAGCTTGTTGTCACCGCCCGTGGATGTGCCGGGCGAGATTGATTGCTCACGCCCAAATACCGAAATAAAATCAATTTTGGAGCAAAGCGCGCATCTCACACTGCTCATCATTAGCGGGCAACGAATGGGGGAAATATGAGCTAGTTGACTGTGTCCTTGGATTGAAGGGGTGACGCAACCGCTCGCAGAATGCGGGCGGTTTCTGCATGCTGAAAGCGTTCGGCAAGAATAAGTGGAGTGTTCTCGCGGTGGTCCCGAGCTTCGGGGTCAGCGCCGTACTTCAGCAAGGTACGAGCATGGGCCGCGTGCCCGGCTTTGGCGGCTAGGTGCAGAGGCGTGGCACCGTACTTGTCGCGCGCCCCCAAGGCTTCGACAGTTTGGTTTTCTGAGAGCAGCAGAATGAGGGTGGCAAGCGCGTCGGCAGGCGTGGTCGCGAAGAAGACGTCACCATCGCCAATATGAGCTGCCATGTGCAGGAGGCTCTGGCCAAGGGCGTTGCGGTAGCCCTGAACAACGGCGCGAAACTGTTCCGGATCCGCCGTTCGGAGAAACGCTAGCAGAGCATGATGACCACCGGCTACGGCCGAGGCATAAACATTCCAACCAGAAGAGTTTTCGTGTGTCGGGCTGGCGCCATGCGCGAGTAAGAGTTGTACGGTCGCTTGGTGGCCATGCAAGGCGGCTGTCATGACAGGCGAACTGCCCGTTGTGCTCATGACGCCCACCTGGGTGGGATCGGCGGAGAGTAGGGCCGAGACCATCTGGGCATCACCTTGTTGGCAGGCAACGTGCAGCGGGGTCCAGCCATCACGGTTCTGAAGATCCACCCGGCGACCGGGTGCTGCGAGCAGAGCCAGCAACGTCGCGAGGTTCTCTGCGCGGGAGGCCGCCAAGTGGAGAGCGGTCCAGTCTGCCTGTTTGGTCCGGTTCACATCTGCGCCGCAGCTCAGCAGCAACGGCACGAGGTCAGCAGCCCCACTCAGTGCCGCTTCATGTAGAGCCGTGTGGCCCACCTTGTTGCGGCGGTTGACGGCCGCCGCCACTGCCACGTCAGTGGTCAGCTGCAGCAGTGCGGTCACGAGCTCCACCGCGTGCGCGTTGCGACAGGCAAAGTGCAACAACGTGTCACCCTGACCGTTCACGGGCCGAGCCACCACCATCTCTCGCTCCGCTGGCTCTCGCGCCCGTATCCATTCAATGGCAGCCTCAAGCTGCCCGGCCCGAGCCTTGACCGCCGGCCGCCGACACAGTCCCCGCAGCGCGCCCTCGTCCATGCCTCGTGTCGCGCAAAATAACGACGCCCGACCCGCCGCAACCACGACTTATCCCTGGGGTGTCTATGTGTCTGTGTCTGGCTGTGTGTGTGTCTGTGTGTGTGTCTGTGTGTGTGCGACAGGGATTGCCAGGGATTGCCAGGGATTGCCAGGGGTTGACAGGGGTCATGGAACATGCCCAGTGAGAGTGAGAAAGTGAACATGCAGTCGATGGCAGCACACCAGAACTCAACTTCAAAAAAAGTACAAAAAGATAATCAAGCCATCGCCGAAGGGACTCGAACCCTCAATCTTCTGATCCGAAGTCAGACGCCTTATCCATTAGGCCACGGCGACCCGCTTGTTAGAACCTATGAGCAAAATATTAGATATGAACAGCTTTATCTTGACATTATTATTCATTGTAATTCGAGGGGTCTGTTGGTTTTCTGTCGAAAGTTCACCGCAAAATTCTGCTTGCTGTTCGTTTGGGTACAATATCTTGTTTCGTTCTAAAGGGGTAACATTCTTGTTCGAGTCCAGGTGTGCATAGCTCTGAGGTGGACGGGACTCGATCTGCTACGAGCGTGTCGGGATCATGGTATAACGATGGAGGGCAGCAACGTCTCGCTTGACGATTGTGAAATTTTACCACGATGTCATCGGCGCACGCACAACTAAATTACAAACAGAGCTCCTTCGCTCTTCTTCAAAGTGGTTGGCGGATAAAAAGACAAAGCAATCAGCAAATTTAACAATCAACAAATAATACGACACCCGTGATGGCAGTCAATCTCTCTGTGGACATGCGTACAAGCGACCATAACCAGAAAGTTAAGCGTAGAACCGCACCAGTCCGCCCCTGAACGCACGAACGGCAAGGGCGGCCACGAGCAGAGAGAAACGATAAAACGATGAAACGTCAAAACAATAGAAAAATTAGTCGAAAAATAGCCAAAAATTAACACCCAACAACAAATAAAAAAAGGTGTTCGCATGCATGCAGGCATCTGACAAGATCGTCAATCAGCCATGAGGGGCCGGCACGTTACAGGCGGGACGGTCAACCACGACGCGCGCCGCAACCAACCTCGACTGAGACACCTCCAACCGATGCACACACGCAGACACGACAATAAGAATCCGATCCAGGTTTTAGCACGAAAGAAGACAAGATGGGTAGGCAGAACAAAGGATGGATGAGGGAAATAAGAAAGAGGTAGAACAACCAGAAAGCAAAACGATATCTCTTCACTACATAATTAGCACAAGACGAGCATAATTATTCAACGCCGAGGCCGATGCCAAGGACAAAGGGCTTAAAGCGCCGAGATAGCAGGGACCCGACGCGCGGGGAATAAAGGGCAAGAAGGACTTGGGTGCCCGTGGCCTTGCCCAAGATGGGTGGCACCACGGTCAGCGTTGCGCGCCTCACAACGCCGACGGGCAGAGCAGCATTAAGACGTCAGCTGGCTAAATACAGGCAGGCGGCTGGCTGAGTTGGAGGCAAAGCGATGGAAACCGCCCGGGGCCAGGTGTCCAACATTCGAAGGGCCAGCACCACCACGCTCGGCACCCGGTGCCAGCGGCGGGGAATGCGAGTTGGAGCGCGTGCCAGTTGGCTTGCCCGGCTTATCGGACGGCTGGCCCCAGCCCACAAAGGCAGCACCATCAGAGCGAGTCTGCTGAGGCTGAGAGTGCGGATGCCAGACCACCTGCATGCAATCCGAAGAAGCAAAGCGTGTGACTCAAACGCAAAGAGAAAACAGCAAGAAAGGAAAGAAAGGAAAGGAAGGAGAGAAGGAAGGAGCACGAGGCAAGAATATACGACTCTCCAGCGAAACGCAGCCAAGCAAGACGCGGAAAGAGCAAGCGCAGGTCATGCGCGAGGTACACACCGACTGCTGACGGTCTGGAATGGGGGGCGAAATGGAAGAGGACGGCGAGGAAGGGGTGGTGATGAACACATCATCGACTTCTTGGGGCTGAACCAAAGTGGACGCTGCAACGTGGCGCTGTTGATTCATCGTGGTCGGAGGATGCTGGCCATGCTTGCCCGAGAACATGGTGGCATACATCTCGGCGGAGGCATGCATGGGGCCCGCCTGGTGAAGATGAACAAAGCGGGGCGGGGTTTGTCCACCGTGGTGATAGGCCGACCCGGCCGAGGAGTCACTGGCCGCGGAGTGGCGGGCTTCCATGGCGGGGCTCTGACCCTCGTCCTCATCCAGTAGCGTCCGAAGAGTGAGGGCAGAGAGACGGGCCTCAAAGTCGTCACCGTCCGAGACACCGCGAGGTGCACTCATGGCTTCCGAAGCAGGGCGGCGACGTGGGCCCCCTGGGCCGGTCGCCGTCTAGAGATTGCACAGAGTACAAGGGTATGGGAGCCCAGGGGTATGAGTGATGTGTGAAACTACGCTAGCAGGAGGGACATGCACCCGAGGTGCCGAGGAGGGTCAGAAGGGCAAGGGCCACGCACGGGAAAGCCGAGGTCATTGGTCGGTTCCGACTGGGTACGGGGGTGATGCTTGCGTTGCTTGACTTCTTCTGTCTCATGCTGCCAAGTCGCACACATCCAACATCAGGAGGGAGCGTACAAAGCATGATGATAACAGGCATGTAACAGGTAGCTGGGAGGTCTGGGCCAAGACGCGTCCGCTTGCACGATACATGTGCACAGGGCGTGGCGCGCATGAACAACCACACTCACCACAAAGTGGCACCGCGGGCCATACGGGCAGACGCCCTGAGTGTGGAACGTCCGACAAAGCTCCGTCTTGTACTTGGGGTGACGTTGCAGGGGCCGGAGCTCGGCTTCGCCGTGAGCAAACTATAAAAAACAAACCGACAAACAAACAAAAGACAAACGGGATGGCACAGCAAGCCCATCAGCATGGACGAGGAGTGGGGCGGGGGTTGTGAGTGACGGCGGTGGATGCCCCTCCCCCCTGCAGACAGTGGGCTTGTTCATCAGACATACTTGACATTTGTCGCCATAGCGGCAGGCACCCGTGTTGCTCCACGAGCGACAGAGCTCTGTTTTGAAACGATTGTTCGAGGTTGGGGCATTCGAGCTGGAGGAATGAGTCCGAGAGCGGGGGTTGCCGTTGCCGTGGTTGACGGTCGTACTCGAGCTGGATTGTGTGCGCTGGCGATGCGGGCAGGCCTGATTGTGGCCGGCCACTGCGCTCGTAGCAGCGGCAGCGGCGGCAGCTGCAGCGGCGGCGGCAGGATTCGCATGCATAGGGGCACGGTTGGGTCCGGGCACAAGAGGAGCCATGTTCGTCATGGAACCGGGTCGGCTTTGGTGTGCGTGGTGAGGGTGATGGGAGTGGTGGGAGTGGTGGGGGTGATGAGGGTGGTGCTGGTTGGGTAGAAAAGGGCGAAATGCACCCTCAAGGCCCGTCGGCATGGCGGTCATCATGAAGGCGGGGGCGAGGAAAGCAGCGAGGGATGGGAGGGAAGAAGCTGGGCTGTCAAAAGTCTTGTGGCGATTCCGGTTCCGTGCCTCTCCGGATACGTCAAAGATGGGGTTGAGCAGGAGCTGGGAGCTTGATGATTGGTTGCTTTTGCTGTTGATGGTGATGATCTCGGGCGCCCCAGCAAGTTGGCCCAACCTGGCGAATCCACCAGCGGAATGAAGTGAGGGAACCGTGGTCAGAGTACAATGGTGCGGGCGTGCTTGATCATGCGGCAAGATGACGGGGCACAAGAGAACAACACCACACCCAGAAGTACCGAGGGACCATGTTACAACCAAGGCGAAAGACAAAAGAGGAAACCGGGGTATTGGAGTGACAAAGCAGACGAAACGGCAACGCAAGCAGGTAACCGGGGCCTGGATCATCACATCGAGTGGGAAGGGGACTCACGCGGTTTGGAGTGGGAAGGAGCTCACTCTGCCACGAGTGAAACGTACCTCGGTGTCAACAACAAAGGCAGAGGTCAGCACAGAGGAAAAATGACCTGAATCAACTGCATGTTCATAGGACCAGCGGTTCAGAGCAACAAGGCAGGGAGGTCAGCGATGGTGGCGTCAAGGATGGATGACGAGTCACCAAGCGTCACTTGGTAGTCGAAGCATCTGAGTTTCTTCTCCACCACCACCTCGGTCACAGGGGAAGAAACCAGAGCAACACGCAAGGCTAGCAAGCCCCCAGGCAAGGCAGACGGGCAGGCCAAAGCAGATGCGACTAGGACGCACCCACCGCCTGATCGTGTGGCCAGGCAAGAGAAGCTACGAAGAGACGTTGCTGCTCAACGAGCCACGCCACGGATCTTTTTTTTTTGTGGCTTTCGTGCTTGCGATTTGCAGTGCAAGCATCCAAGTTCACGAGCGGCTGAAGAAGGGCAATGGGGAGCAAGTCAGTCAGGTGGCAGTGGAGCAGACCCGGTCCGCTCAGGTTGAGACGCGTTGGCCCAGCGTGTGGTGGTTTGGGGTGTCGTTCCCAAGGAAAAGATGGCAAGAGGCAAGGGGGGAAAGCGGGGGGGGGAAGCGGCCTTCGCGTATGCACCCCCTCTGCAATGAAGCGGACGAGACTCACGTAGATTTCGCGTGCATGCAGTCGACGCCGAGTGAAAATGAATCATACCACCTTTTTCTGTGCCAATGCCGAGGTCAAGCGATTTGCTTCCAGAGAGCAAGGGGGGCCGGGGCCTTACAACCAGTGCGAGGTTGGGGGGGTTTCCTTGTGCGCAGGCACTCGCCAATGCATACACGCATGCAATCTGCAGATCAACTTTTGACGTTTTCGATCAAAAAAAAAACTGTTTGCTTGCTTGCGTGCTTGCTCTTTGGATCATTTGATGAGGTTGTGGTGATGTGGTGATGTGGCGATGTGGGTGATGGGTGATGGGTGATGGGTTGAGGTCGCTTGTGAGGGGGGTGCGTTGTGGCAATCCAGTCAAAGAGGGTGCAACGACCGCGCTCCAGCGATAGGAGTCATACCCGAAACAGGGACGAATGTCACCACGGCAAGGACAGGGGTGTGATTGAGCCTGCTTTCCTCGGGTTTGCTCGCTGTCTGACATTTGTGGGCTGGTTGTGTCCAGCGCGCGTCGGTTTCCTTGTGCTCACATGTCAGGTAGGCAGTCGACCACGCTTGGGACAGACACGCTTCTCTTTTGCGATTCCAAAGAGGCCCAGAAGTTGGGCATCAAGATACAATGCTTCCAACGAGGCGGGGCTCTTGCCATGAATCAGGTCAGCAGCAAAGTGAAAGATCAATTTTTTTGAGAATGGGTGTTTGAGTGCGGGGCTTATTGCTGCTGGGTTGGCGCCGAGGCGCGAGCCTGAGCCTGAGTGAGGGTGGGGGAAAAGGTCATAGCACAAGGCACGCGGTGAGAACCTTGGGGTGATGCGAAGCAGCCGCCGCCGCCAGGGTGAATTTGCAGCGAACAAACCGAGGCGGCCATGCGCTGGATATATCCGCGCACGCGTTGATACAGAGAGCGGACCACGCCCGGACAGTAGGGATGGTACGAGAGTTGATCTGCCAGCGTCACTCAAGAATAGGATGAGAAGCCGGCGTAAGCACACCGCGAGCCACGGGCGGAAAACTTCTTCAGAACGCACCAAACAGCATGACGAGCTGGTCCCAAAACTGGCGCGGGTGAGGATTACGGCGCGAAAAGTAACGCAACTGCATAAACTGCATGAGGGCAAAGCACCGGAACAGCTTGGACACATCCAAACTGGAAAAGCCCAAGAAAGCAAATGAGGCACAGAGCGCGAAGCGGACGTGCTTGGGCAGACACACAGCGGATCAGGGGCGAGCAGGATCGGGATGATATGTCCGATGTATGATTAAAACATTTTTAAAAAAAAAAAAAAAAAAAAAAAAAGGAGAGCAAGGTTGGCAGGACTGACCGGAAGACGGCGCCCAACACTGTTGTAATAAAGTAAACGCTTTCCAGCTCAGCAATCGTGCGTAGGATCTATGGGTTACAGGACCATGTTTAAAGCAGACGCCGACCAAGCACGGAGGCCATTTGAGTTGCGGTTGAAACCAGGCGGTGGTTGACACGAGAGTCGACAAACCCGAGTTTGATGGTCCGTGACCCGGCGGCACAGCGTCGATACAGAGTGGTTCGGCTGGTAAACATGACACCAAACAAGTGTTGGGTGAGGCAGCGCCCCAAAGCGGCCGTCAAAACCAAATGGTGGACTCAAACACGACCCAAGCATGGGGGCTCGGGACAGCAAGCCCTCTGAAGAAGACGGATTGCCGTAGGAGCGCAATTTCAAGCAAGAAAGCAGGCAAGACGAACGCCGAAAATTTTAATTAGCTGGCTGGCCGCGGCCAGGACGGCGTAGAGGCCCAAGGGCACGAGCGCCAGGGGCTCGGGTGTGCTGTGTCCACATGGGCGCGCAAAGCCATGAGCACGAGCTCGCCCGAAGTGGCAGTGATACATTCTTGCCCTTGCAAGGTACACCGACCTGAGGTAGAGCAAGCTGTAAATAAAATAATGGCCAGCATCCTCCAGCAGGATCTGGTGAAGATACTCGGTCGAGAACCTGGGCAACTGAGGAGGAAGGTGACGTGTCATTGACCAAGGGGCAGTGGAATGAGGCGACGATTGAATGGCAGGCACATGCAACTGGCGCGCCGCGATCCAGTCTTGGACGGAATCGAAACGGGAAGCTCAAATACGGGGTAAGGGCCGGCCACTGGCAGGACGGGACGTACTCCAATACGTTGGTAGAGGCGTACGCCGTAGATGAGCACAAAGGTGTAAGCGGCCAGTGTGTAGGCAGTGAAGCTGCCAAACATGGCGGCTAGGATAGCTCCCGCGCCCACAAGCCGTGCCACCAGGAACAACACATTCACGGGATCTGCCATCAGACCAGCCTACGCAGAGCAGAAGTAGCATGAGGCGGCTGAAAAGCAGGCGAGGCCTCCTGCGGTGCAGCGGCCTCGAGCGGGGGTGGCACAGCAAAACCGTGACCAGGGTCCAAACGCGTCAACGAACCAAGCCCGAACCCGGTGCCGCCGTTGGTGTGGCATTTGGTTGCGCTGTATCTGTCATCTTGCTGGCTACGCAAAGGGGACGTGCGTCGTGCATGAGTCTGAGCCGGTAGCTGCCGAGCACGTGGTCTCCCAGAGTCCCCCAAAAGGCCCTACCCTCCCACGAAACATTAAAAAAACCACGGCCCTTCCATGACCAAATTCAAGTCCCTTTCCCAGCCTTACGCTCATCCACAACCAACCCTGCCTCACATCCCGCCCGCCCCTGCAAGCGAACCGCCCGGAGAGAGAGCGAGAGAGAGAGAGAGAGAGAGAGCGAGAGCGAGAGAGAGCAGAAGCAGCGCACCGCACAGAGAGAGAGAGAGAGCGAGAGTGATGCCGACAACAGCAAAATGATGACATCGACTACCAGGTGTAAGTGGCCTCCAAGACCAATTGGCGGGTGTTCTCCAACTTTAGATTTTATATTTCCGAGGGAGCGTGCTTGAGCCAAGGGCGGATTTTTTTTTTTTTTTTTTTTTTTTTTTGGGAAGGGCAGCGGGGATCGGCTGTTGCTGTTGCTGCTGTTGCTGTTGCTGCTGTTGCTGTTGCGGTGGTGCTGGGTGAGAGGGACACGTGCTTGGTCTGTTATTTCTGCTGCTCGTGGCGGTGGTGGTGGTGTGGGTAGCACTTGACGGTCGGATCGACCAAGAAACCCTTGAACATGTCGGGGTTTTCAGCGAGCGCCAAGCGCACCTGGCAGCAGATCCTGGGACAGGAGCCCGAGGAGGAGCAGAGCAGCATCATGAGCGGCGTATGTCCATGCCATGTTGTGTCCCAGTCTCATGGCACCTTCCATGCATTCGCTCGAGCTGTGTGTCCTTGGATGATTCTCATGTTTGTAATTGGCTCGCTCACCTCATCATCCGGTCTGCTCCAGCTGCAGAATGACGTCGATAATTGCTGCGGAGATATGTGCAAGCTCACTCGTAAACAACGCCTTTATGGTTGCGCCATCTGCTTCTGCGCTGGCCTCGTCCTGAGCGCTCTGGTGAGGCGGGCCTCAAGGCTTCGAGCCCTGATCCTTCTCCTCCGCCCTGCCGCAGCACGCCCCGCATACGCACACCCGCGTGGGCTCTCACTTGATTTCCTGCACCTGGGTTGGATCCTCTGCGATAGGGCCTCCTCTTCTTGGGCCTCAACAAAATCGTGCCATTTGCCGTCTGTTATAGCCTGGGTACCATCACGTCTCTTGCCAGGTTCGGTTCGACCGAGCCTCTCCCTTGTTTGCTCTTGCTCGAGTTTCTTCCCATCAAGCAGCCATCATCCCCCTGCTCTCGACCCCCGCTCACCATCCGGCCTCGCACCTGTGTCTACCATCAGCTCTCTCTTTCTTTGGGGCCCATGGCATCAAATCAAGAACATGTTCAAGGTTCGTTTTGCCTTGCATGGTGCCAAACGCCCAGCAAGCTCGCAACTGGCCTCACTCGTGCCACAATACTCTCACCTTTTAGGAAACGCGATGGATCGCCACCACGATCATGCTTATTGCCGTCATTATGACCCTAGTCTCTGCCTTGGTCATCAAAAGCATTGGTCTCACTGTGCTGTTTGCCATCATTCAATTTTGTGCCGTCTTCTGGTACACCATCTCCTATATTCCCTTTGCCCGCCAAGCCGTCAAGAACTGCGCAACCTCTTGCGTCTAGGCAACCCCCCACGCTTCCAGACAGCAGGCAGGCAAAGTGCTTAGGTTCTCTCTCTCTTTCTCTCTCTCTCTCGCCATAGGCAGGGCATATACCCGCCATTTGATTTTCTCGTGTCTCGTGGTCGCTGTGGACTTGTTGTTAATTCATATTGGAGTCTCGTCCCTCCCCGGCTCTAGATGGGGCACCTGTTTCCGGGCACTCTACTTTTGAAAGTACGACTGCAATCTTGTTTTGCCTTTGCATCATGTTCTTCTGTCCCTGTCTCTTTTCTCGGGCCACATGCACGGCCGCCTAGTCTCAGGCTTGAGTTTGTGTTCCTCTCTTCCGAAGCTCAACACACATTAAAACTGAGATAAATTCGTGTCCACACCGAGACGTGCACAGATAAAATCACAGGAAACAGGCACGGGTACGGGTACAGACGCACAGACACACAGACACAGGTGGCATGTCTATGGGAAAAGCACCTGATCTACCCAGGATGTGCTGCATGGGAGACGTGTGATTCTGGGCCTTGGGTATGATGGAAGATTCACGGAATAAATGAGCCAAGCTCGCGCATACACACGAGAGCAGTACAACAACACCAAGCCCGAGGCAAACGTCGCTAGTGCTTGGAGCTCAGTTGTCGAAACAGATTGACCGCATCGTCTGCGTACTCGCTGACGGATGCTCCGCTTGTCACGTCTTTTGAACCCGCAGTACCGCCCGAGGCTTCATCCCCATTGTCATCTGCAAAAACCGGCAAAGGTTCCGCAGGTGGGCGAGCGGGGCTGATCGTGACCAATGGTGCCCCGTAGGCATCGTCCGCCCCATCAAAAGCATCAATGTCGCCGTACACACCCTCTGGTGAAGCCATGGGGTCGATCTCCTCCTCTGTCGTTCCCGGTGGAGGTGGCACCCCGTTGGCGCCCATGACACCATACGGATTCTCACCCTTGGGCTCCGTGCTAGGTGTGGCCACGGTAGCTGCCGTTGTGCCGTATGGTGACTCTGCGGCATGCGCCATCACGACGGCACTGCTCGTGGGCTTGGCCAAGCCGACCCCAAAGTCTTGGATGGCTTGCATGTCGCCGTAGATACTTTCCTTCGGCTGGTCCGATGCGATGGTGCTGTAACCTGATGCCTTGGTAGTCGTCGGAGCTGGCTCGTCCACTTGGTCATACATGGACTCGGGGTCAGCCGCGCGCACCGCGGGCGCAGAATCATAGTGGGTTGAGGGCTTCTTGCGTCGAGTCGAGGGCACGCTATAGATATCCAACGGGGCTGACCCGTTGTCATACAGGGGGTCGTACCGTGGCTTGGGGACGTCATCGTCATCCTCAGTAGCCGCATTCGCAGTCACTGGCCCTGTCGTGCGGGTACTCGGGGGCGCAGCCGTAGTGTCAGTCGGCTTGGCATTTAGCGCCGCACCGAAAACTCCAGGCTCGTGATCCATCCGTGTCTCCATTACGCGCTTTGCAGGGGTTGCGGGCGTGGGCGAGGTCAGCACAGTCTCATCTTGCATGGGGATTGACTCGTAGGTGGCATTTAGGTAGGCACTGGACTCTGGGTCATCGTTTAAAGTCGCTTCTTCTGGCTCTGTTGTTGATGCCGTGCCGCTGCGCTGCGACGTCTTATGGGCTTTGTGGTCGACGCTCGTTTCCTGGAAGCCAGTGTTGGAATGGAAGAGATTCAAATTGGTGCCATCGTCGTTTTCTTGTGCCATTTGCACGGTGATGCGGTGTAAATAGGCATCGTCATCTTCATCAGGCAGCATCGAGGGTGCAAAGGTGGCCAAATCCACAGCCTCTGGCTCATCAAAGCTCTCGCCAGCTTGGCCAGCTGCCAGGGGGGGGGGGGGCGCAGGGCAGGGTGCACGTGGGGTGAGTTTGAAAGCACGATCAGATTCAAAAACAATTTTGATACAACAGCAGCCCTTGCTAAGATTTTGACAAATGGAATGGTTGTGCTCACGCTGCACAACAGCGGCAGAACCAGAGCCAAATCGACAATTTCAGCCAAAATCCTTCACATTCTTGCCCTCAGCAAACAACAACCGCAAGCGATGAGGCAGAGCATTGACCTACCATAGAGAGGGTTGACATTGCCAAACGTGGACAACGTGGCGCCAGGCGGCTCGCTGTACTCCTTACGCTGGCTGGACTGCGTCGAGAATGTGGAGAGTGGTGTGTCAGCGGTGCCGCTGCGCGAGCTGGAGGAGGGGCCAAATGAAACCTTGCTGGGGCTGCGTGGGGCTTGGCTGAGATGGGAGGCGTGACTCGAGGATGACATGCTCTTGGTGCCACGCGAGGGCGGTGGGTCAGTCCCACCCGTGGTGAAGACGGACTGTACACCGCGGCGGGCCCGCCCAAAGGTGGAAAACTGCATGGAGCGGTGGGCTTCGTTGCGGGCCACAAGCAGTGCACTATGCCAGCGCTGGGCGTCGGCATCGTGCATACAGGAGAAGAAGTACCATTCGCCCGTGTCCAAACCAATGCGAATGGAGCGGCGGGCGTTGCTGATGCGCTCCTCGTTGGTGAGACTGACCAAGCCAACGGAGCTTGCCTGAATCATGTCCACGTGAGCAAGCACACCGGCCTGAGCTGCCGCAGTGGCGGCAACAGTAAAGAGACCCTTTGTCAGAAGGCCCAAACGGCGGTGCTCAGTCAGGCGATCGGGTCCAGCCACGCTGCCCGTGCCATGATAACGGATCCACCCCGTGTAGCCTTTCAAGTTGGGTGGAAAGTCATGGGTGGGGAGTGGGGCTTGGTCTTCCTCCTCTGGGGTGCTGAGGGTGGCATCAAGGGGATCCGGGGCGAAACCAGTCCGGCGAAATTCCTGTTGGTGATACATGTTTCCGTCCTGCGTTTGGCGCAGGGAATAGTAATCATTGCTGACATTAACGGCGGCGCGCGCGAGAATGGCTTCATCCTCGCGGGTGCCGGAAGTGGCCACCGTGCGAGCAAGGCGATGGTGATCAATGTGGTGTGCCAGGGCCTCCTTGAAGCGGCCAAGAGAGCCCAAGCAATTGCCCATGTTCCCCTCAACGGCCATGATTAGCTCGTATTTACCGGTGATCTGCGCGCAATCGGAAGCGTGTTGAAACGCGGCGAGCCCCTGTTCAAAGTTGCCAAAGTGATAGTGAGCCAACCCCAGGTTGTTGTAGGCGTTGGTGCGAAGGTCGTGAATGTTGGCACGGAGGGTCATGAAAAGGCGATCCTCGCGCGCCAAATGCTGTACTTGCAGCTCAGCATACTCGATGGCACGCAGCTTATCGCCGGTCTGGATGTAGCAACGGGACAGCGTTGCGTAGATGAAGCAGAGCACATTGATGGGGATGTTCGCTTGGTCGCGCAGAGCCCTATCCAGGTGCTCAATGGCCGAGCCGTAGTCTCCGGCGTTGCTGGCTTGCACGGCCCGAGTTACCGCGCCCATGACCCGGCGTTGCAATGGCGATACAGGACTACCAGGCGCGACCGGCTCGCGCTGGTGGCTGCTCAGCCGTTCCATGTCCACGGTCACAAAATCCATGGTGAACGGTGGGCTGGCAATGCCTGCCGACCCCACTCAGGCCTATCTCGCTTGCACCAACGTCAGGGCAATCAAGCTTGTACCCTCACACAATGGACCGATTGACCAGCCGATCGCTCTCCCCACTCCAGCCCGCCCCGAAAGGTGCGTCAATGGAAAATTGGACGAGAGAGAGAGAGAGAGAGAGAGAGAGAGAGAGAGAGAGAGAGAGAGAGAGAGAGAGAGAGAGAGAGAGAGAGAGAGAGAGAGAGAGAGAGAGAGAGAGAGAGAGAGGTGAATACAATGCACAAAAAGATGCTCCGCCCCTTTTCATTCGTCGATCCTGGGTGGGCAGAAGAGGGATCTTCCTCGAATCAAATGGAAGAGCTCGGTGGCTACAGGACAACGATGCAGATGCTTTGGCGGCTTTGCGTGCCTCTTCAGACACGGTTCCGCCCTGTACAGCCCGCCCCTTCTGTCAGTCAAAGAAGGAAGGCATTGCTATGGGCCAAAGCGACCATCGATTTCCTCCCTCTTTATGTTGGTTTGTTTCACATCCCCTGTCGGTGAACATGACCGTATCTAATCTCTGGATACGCTGCCACGCTGTCTCATCCAGGTACGCCTCGAGGCACCAGTCTTCGCCCCGCCTCCCCTTAGCACAACCCTCCCAAAGGCGCGCCCAAGCCCTGGGCTCTGCCCTTCTGCTCTTCTCAACCTCTTAAGGATGTGAAAACGAAAAACGCAGCCGGGGGTCAAAACGTGCCGACCACCTACAACATGACCCCAACCACATCCGATTACGACATCCAAAACGTCAGACGATTTGTATTGCATCATCGAGCGATTACGGCAGCGGCGGCGGCGCCAAAACGGAGAACGAACGGGCCGTCGAGTGGTCGAGGGTCCCCCGTACAGCGCTCGCTGGCGTTGGGTGGGAGGCGGGAGAGAGTCGGGGAAGAAGCTTTGACATGGTACTCTGCACTATGAAGCGAGAGGGAGGTCCAATGGTCAACCGTGAACGGTACCAGGGGCACTTGGTCGTCCCCACACATGACCCACGACCAGGGGCCAAGTCGTACCGGGGGAGATCAAGACAACGCGTTGTCAGCCAACACGGCGGGTTGCCCGTGTACCGTGTTGAACCGGGGGCTCGACCTGGTGCCGTGTCGCTATTTCAACGCAGGGGTCGCCCGTCACGAGCCGTTGTCTAGGCCTCGGTTTGATCATTGTTCGAGGTTTGGGTGAGCTCGGGGTGCCTTTTGTTCCCGCCTGTATTGCTAAAGGTGGGGACCGACCAGCCCAAGTGAGTCGCTTGAACAGACTTTTTCTGTCCGAGTTGAGCCGATTGCGTTTGCCCATGCGCTCGCGCTCCTGGTGAGGAGGGTGTGTAAAGTCAGTATCTTTTTGGCCCTGCAAGAGCATCGCATTCTCTTCCTCGACCAGGTGGGTCGAGCCGAGCTTGCCGCCTCTCATCAAGGGCTGGGGGCGCACCGTTCGTTCTCGTGTCTCGCTTTGCCTTTTCTGTTTCTTCCTTGCAAAGACCTGTGCGTGTGTGTGTGTGTGTGTGTGAGAGAGAGAGAGAGAGAGAGAGTGTGTGTGTGTGTGTGCGAGAGTGTGTGCGCGCGCTTGCCTGGGTCCTGCTATCGGCTGGGGATATGCGTCGGCCTTGGTTGGCACTACATGGTGCTATTTTTTTGGGTCCCTCCATCCCGCATTGCCTCTCTTTTTGAGATTCTTCCTGCTCCGCGCTCCTGCTCCTTTTTCAGTGGGAGCCCAGCTTTGGGGCTTGATTGGTCTGTTCTCACACCACCCCTCCGCGCCACCCGTGTGTTGGCTTTGCTGTCAATACCTTCGGGTTCCCTTGTGTTTGTTGATAGTCGACCAGAGCAGAGGCTTGCTTGTCGCACGCCACACGCCTTCTCCTGGCGCACACCCAGGAACATGCAGGCGGCAACCAGCATGAGTGGCGGTATGCGTGCCACCAGCCGGCTGGCTAGTCGCACCGCCACCACCGAAAAACGTGGGCAGCAATCTTCCAGCCCCTCGTGGTACCGCTTTCACGATGACCTCAACAAGGCGCTCAACGAGCTCCATGGCGCCTCCAACGCCACCTTTCTCGTGCTTCGTGGTTCTGAACCCAATACCTATCGCCTTCTCGTGCGCTTTAACAAGGCCACTGAGGAATACTCCATCCAAGATCACGGTCGCGGCAATGGCGTTCAGCTCGTTCATTCTGAACTGCTCTTTGATAATCTTCGCCACCTCGTCGATTTCTACCAGAGACCAAAGTCCATTCAGCACCGCGATCTCCCATGCGTTTTGCATAACGATCGCGATCTTCACTACCGGTCCAATTCAGCTGGAGGTCCCATGTTCGAGGTGAGCAGTCGTCATCACAGGGGCGAAGCAGTTGGCAGCCCCAAGCTGCCGTGCGTAGTGCCTCCTCACATTCTTTTCTTTTTTTCCTTTTGTGTGTGTGTGTGTGTGTGTGCTCGACTATCTTGCTAGCCTGAAGTTGGCTCAAGTAGCCATTATTACCATCGTGGCTCTGCCACAAGCCTGGCGCCTTCCCCGGCCAAGGTAAGCGTTTGAAGCCATGCCTTGGGATTCACGTTGAAGCCCAATTGCACAATTCGGGCCTCCTTATGGCTTTTGCCCGTTGCTTGAATTGCAGAAGCACGTGCAGCTGACGCCCACTCGTCGAGGCCAGCAGCAGCAGCAGCAGCAGCAGCAGCAGCAGCAGCAGCAGCAGCAGCAGCAGCAGCATACTGCCACTCGTCATGACGTCCCTGCCGTCACTCGTCGACATACCTATGCCCAAGGTTTGTTCATCTGCTGCTGTCCAGTTCCAGTTCAGCTGGTGGAGTCGCATGTCCGGAGCCGCATCTCTTCTTTGGAATCAAGACTCAAAGTTTCGCACCTCGTGCGCATGTATACATGGGCTTGGTTAGGCTTGGGTGATGATTATCACCAACATCGAAACAGGCTGCATGAAGAGTCCTACCGCATCGAGGAAGAAGTGGTGCCCGTCCACTCACCCCGACGCAGTTATTGGCAAGCTCCGGCACAAGTTCGGCCCATCATGACCGAGACAAGGTCCAACACAAGCGTACCCCCTGTGCTGCGCTCTCGCTCAGAGCCCGCCATCATGACCAACAGCCATGCCTTTGCTCAGGTACCGCTGAGCGTGTGGTTCGAAATGAATCCATTTGCAAAGGTCTGCCCTGGTGCTCACTGACTTACTGCTTCTTCTCATATGCATTTCCTTGATTCCGTTGCCAGCAAACGCTGTTGACGGTGCCCGAGTCTGACGTTGCCAGCTTTGCCTCACCACATCTGACACAGCCTACGGCTGTGCCGATGCAGGCCATGCCGTCTGCGGGCATGCCACCACCCTCAGCTCAATCTTTTGCCACGACAAGCATGGCTTCCCAATTCTCCCAGGCTTCCACTGGCATGCACCAGCAACCCTCAACCCTGCCCTACCCACCACCCACCGGGTGGCTACAGCAACAGGCTTACGAGCCTGCCTGGTGGCAGCTTCAAATGTCGCGTTTTGACGCTCATCGCCTGTTGAAAGGTTTGCGCCCTGCCCATTCCATCGCGCAAGGGCACAAACGCCACCTGAATTTCTTGCTTGGGCGTCCATCTCGGCCTCGAAAACTCCACTCACAGACGCAAAATTCTCTGATTTGCAGGCATGCCACCTGGCAGTTGTTTGGTGCGCCGCAGCGAAAACTATGCGGACCGTCTAGTCTTGAACTATATCGTGGATGGACAGGTTTTTGATGAATACATTTATCACGTACCTACCAGCGATGGCGCCTCAGGTAAATCGTGTGCTCTTATCCTGCTGTTCTATTCCGTACTGCGTGCCAAAGTAGACATTGCGTCTGTCGGTCGGGCCTCCTCTCACCAGCCTTTCTCTCCGCTTGCCGGCTTTGAACAGGACTTTACTTTGAACGATGTCCCGAGGTCATCTTCCCATCGGCCCTCGCATTCATGGAGGAGTTTTCTGGTCACAACGAGGTGTTCACGGTTCCGTTGCGGCCGTAAGTGGACCACGACTTGGCATCACCACTCTGGTTGCCCCCGCTCACCATAATGCACTCACCAACATGATGGACACACTCTGCGTCTTGATAGGCTTCCAGAGGAGACTTTTCAGAACGGCATGTTCATGGTGGAGTCGCCTGCAACCCCCATGTTTGGCACGGAGGAGAACCTAGAACGCAACCGACTGGCCAAGGCCGCAAGCAGCAACCGAAGTGACGGACAACACCGCCACCGCCACTACCGCCATCATCGTCATCACCATCACCACAATCGCGACCATGAAGATAAGCGCACAAGCCACGGCACTCGCCAGCACAAATCTCGTCACCGCCACAGCCCCTCGCCCAACCTCATTCGCCGAGATGAGGGCACTCAGGTTTGACATACCTCGATGGCTGCTTTGTCTTGCAACACACTTTCTCACACCTCGCATCTTGCATGTGGCCACATCGCATGCAGACGACAGACGCGCAATCCCAGCCCCCACCAATGCGACGAGCGGCTAGTGTGCCTGAGCGCCCCCGCGCGGCGATGATGGCGGCTGTAAGGCCAAAACCCGTTGGCCTCGATTGTTCGACTCGAAACTGTGCGTTGTGACTCATTAGCTGGTTGTTGGTTTGACCTGAATCCTCTTTAGACGCACCGTGCGCGCACCAACCCAGAGCTGCACACACAAGATCAACTGCACCCGCACACTTACGCACAGGCCCGCCCTGCAGAATCCCAGCAGTCCACATATGCAGACATCATCGAGCCGCGACAAGGTCACATTGTGCGTCAAGCGTCTACAACCGTATGTTGCTCCATCTTTACATGTTGACCCTTGGTGCCTCGATGTTTGCGACTACTGCGCTCACTGCATCCACACTCTTATCCACAGTTGCAGCCTCCCGTCGAGTCCTCGCAATCAAACATGGTACACATGGACGTGGATCAAATGCGGCGACGACCTCGAATGCCTCTGCCGACCGAACAAACGCAGCCGCCAGTTCGACAGCCGCAACCCGAGATCACCGTGGAAAGCATTGCAGGCAGTGTGAGTTCACACCCACAACCCACCGAAGTAGAACCAACTACAACGCCGAGTGCCGCATCAGCAACAGCAACAGCCGCGGCCCCTGCCGCGGCGTCGAACCGAGGTCTGAATCATCAAGCCACCGTTGTTGAGGGCCCTGTCGATGAACCCCAGTCGACAGCAACAGCCGCTGTTAGCCATCGGTCTGGCATTGCGGATGCCCACGCTGTTTCTGCAGCACCCGTCTTTGCAAGCCCCCCACCATCCGTATCCGCTGCACCCCCGCCCACCAGCGTGAGCGCTGAGCCTGCCGCTGCCACTTCAGGCGAGTTTCAGCGCGATGCGCAAGGGCACCCTGTACTGTCGACCTTTCCATACCAAACCAATACCGATTACCGTCGGGAGGACCAGTCCTCTCTGGCTGCTCCCCGCGCCCCCGAGTCTAGCCTTGGCAGCCAGAACAACAGACAGCGCGTGCTGCGCTCAGAGTCAAACGTGAGTCAAGAATCACACGACTTTGAGCCACACCCTTTTGGTCTGAACGAGGTTATCCCATTCTGGTACCGTATGGATTTGAAGATGGAGGAGGCCCATGCCGCCCTGGCAGGTGGCAAGACAGGCGACTTCTCCGTCCACCAAAGTGATAAGGCGTCCCCCTTTGCCGCCCTTTCCTACGTGGGCAATGACGGGCTGGTGGCCTCCAAGGACATCTTTTTCGACTGCAAGACGGGCAAATTCCGACTTCAGGGCCGCAATGCTTGGTTCTCAACCGTGACCGAAGTCGTCCGCAATGCCTCCGACCCGCACGGCAAGCGATCCACGCGGTCAAAAACTCGCCCCGCCACCATTCCCGAGGGACAGACCCTGCCCACGGACAATGGCATGCCGCCACCTCAAAATGCAGCCACGGAAACGGCCCCTGCCGCGACTGCGCTCTAAGTCTTTTCAACCTTGCTCTATTTGCCCACTTTCCTGTTTTGTATTGTGTCGCGCGCTGCGACCAAAGGGTGTGTTGCACCAATTTTTTTTTCTGTGAACCGACTGTGTGCAATGCAAATCTATGATTGCCCGCATGCATTCTTCCGTGTGCATGTGCAGTCGTGGCCAAATTGGTCGTCCATCTGAAATGTTGAGGCTTGGTTGCCTTGCCTTTTCCCGGTCTGTATAGAATGTATCGTTTGTCTGAATAGTACCGCTCCATGGGTAAGGCCTTGCACATTCAATTTTTGATAATTGATGTGAGTCAACTGGATAGATGAAGATGGGCCCTTCTGCGTTATCATATCGTGCAAGAGTCGATCAGACACATCTCCAAGATGATTTCAATTGGCTTGAAGAAGAAGACAAGACCTCTTCTTGTCGACCAGAACCACCAGGACGATACCAGATAAAAAATGCGGCAGGCTCGGCATCAAGCCTCGGCAAACACCTCGAGCCGGGTTGCGCCACACACCTGAGGGGCAACCACGACCGCGAACGCCCGGCGACGCCGGCCAGCCAAACCGCAGACGGCAGCAACATGGAGTTATGCAATGCAAAAGGGATTTCAAAGGCAACGATTTCCATCGTAGCAGGTGTCACGACCTCCAAAACAAGGCGCGATTCACGCTGCCCAATGGAAAAAGAGTAACCACGAAGCCCCAGCCGCTCGAGAACGGCATAGACAGCACGCTACAGACATGAAACATCACGCACGAATTGTGTTTCAAACGGCCCCAACTTGGCTTGGTGAGGTAATTCAAACAAAAGAAGCAAGCGTAGAAGACAGGGAATAAGGGAGTGGAGAAAAGTCAGAGCTCATAAGAGAACACAAAGCCTGGATCATGGCTTGGGGCCCAGGCGCCACACGCTAAGGGGGGCGCGAGCACACAGCAAGCAATGACCACGAATGCCTAGTGCATGAGGATGAGACGAAACGGGGCCTCTCGCAAGAATGCCAGGTCCTAAGGTGACCCGCAGACACGGCGGCTTAAGAAGAGCCCCGACCCCGAGACATCATCATCCTGCACACAGAACAATCAAAAATCAAAACACAAAGAGGAAAACAAGCAGCACCTGATTTGACCGTGCCCGCCACAGAAGAGCAAGGCACTTGTTCGATGCACGAAAGAAAGAGCAGAGACAGGGTCGATAGCAAAGGTTGAAGAAATGTGAAGAAGAGGAAAAGCACAAACAAACACAAAACAGCAACGCTTCCCCTTCGGAACAACGATAAGATGCCACCGACAAGGCCCGCGACAAGCTTGTGCTTGGCCTGGCAGAGGCATGCACCATCATCTGGGGTGCAAAGGTAATGCCGCATGGTTTGGGTTTACTCCTCATCAGGGTCATAGGCGAGGATGGGCGCCAGCCAGCGCTCAACGGTCTCAACCTCTTGCCCCTTGCGCTCAGCATAGTCAACGACTTGCTCGCGCGTGATCTTGCCCACGGCAAAATACTCTGACTTGGGGTGAGCAAAGAACAGGCCCGACACCGAGGCGGCGGGCATCATCGAGAAAGACTCGGTCAAGCTCATGGCGGCGCGTGCCTGAATAAGTGGAAAGGGCATAAAAAGAATGAGAGACCGAGACGGGGAATAAGGTCACGGCAAGAAGCCCATGACAGACACAGCAAAAGCACAAACAGACACAAGAAGTAGGGGACAGGATAGGCCCCCGAAACACCATCAATGAGAGAAGACAAAGCAGGAAAAAGGAGAAAAAATAAAATCAAATAGGAGGCAAAACAAAACAAAACAAAACAACACGAAATGACGCTGAACAACGCATGCCAGGATGACTAGCAATTCACCTCGGCATCCAAAAGCTTCCAGTACGTGGCCTTTTCGGTGTGATCAGGCTGGGTAGGGTAGCCAGGTGCGGGACGGATGCCATCGTACTTGAGCTATCATTGAGTAGAATAAGCGAGGCGGTCGTGGATCGTGAGAGTCGACATCAAAACAAATTGGGACAAGGGTGGAAAAGGCCACGCCGACATTGTGGACGCACCTGGTGAAGCTCACGACTGTTGAAGCTCTCATCCTTGGCATAACCCCAGTACTCGCGGCGGACATCCTCATGCAACATCTCCGCAAATGCCTCTGAAAGCACACACGCCAGACCCGGGCGATGCCGCACATGAGATGATGTTAGACTGCGCAATAAGACCACGCGAGGACACACGGCGCAGCGAGCGTCTCGACCAACCGGCGAGGCGATCAGCCAGAGCCTTGACCATGATGTTGTTGTAGTCATCGTGGTCAGCCAGGAACTTGTTGGCCAGCTCATCAGCGCCAATTCCACAGTTGACGGCAAAAAGGCCCACGTAGTCCGGGATGCCCGATTCCTTGGGTGCAACAAAGTCGGACTGGCAAAAATAGGCATCGCTCTTGTCCATCTTCTCGGCTTGCTGACGCAGACCAAAAAGCGTGGCCGTGGGCTCGGTGCGGGTGTCGTCGGCGTAAATTTCAATGTCATCGTGGTTGACCGTGTTGGCCGGGAAGATACCAAAAACACCCTGGGGAAACAAGTCGGCAGTGACACAACAAAAGAGGGTGAGTAATGGCCGGGATGCAAGAAAAGCACACACCAAACCGGGTGCTATTTGCCTGCCTGCCTGTCAGCCTGTCAGCCTGTCAGCCTGTCAGCCTGCCTGCCTGTCTGTGTCTGTCTCAACGGCACCGCCCACCCGCTGCCTTCTACTCTTGCAATCCGATTCGCTTCACATAAACGTACCTTGCCGCGGATGAGCTTTTCGTCGATAATGCGGCGCAAGAGAGCCTGGCCGTCGGCAAAGACACGCTGCGCCTCCTCGCCCACGTGGGCATCGTCAAAGATCTTAGGGTAGTTGCGGTTAGGGTACTTGCCACGGAGCTGCCACACCTCAAAGAAGGGTTTCCAGTCAATGTACTTGACCACGCGCTCAAGATCCACGTCCTCAATGACCTTGAGGCCAGTCATGTTAGGCTTGGCGGGCGCCTCGGCAGCCCAATCGATAACGCAGCGGCGCTCACGGGCATCGGCCAGGGAGACATAGGTACGGTCGGCCAGGGAGTCAAGGTACTCCTCGCGAATTTCGTCGTACTCGTCCTTGATGTCCTCGATATACTCCTCGCGGTTCTTCTTGTCGAGAACCGAGGAGACGGTGACAACAGAGCGGGAGGCATCAAGCACGTGGATGACTGGCTGTTGGTACTTTGGGGCAATCTTGACGGCGGTGTGCATCTTAGAGGTGGTGGCTCCACCAATGAGCAGGGGAATGTCGAGACCGGTGCGCTGCATTTCCTTGGCCACGAAGATCATCTCGTCGAGGGAGGGTGTAATGAGGCCGGAGAGACCCAGCACATCGGCCTTGTGTTCACGACAGGCGTCGAGGATCTTGTTGGCGGGGACCATGACGCCAAGATCAACAACCTTGTAGTTGTTGCAGCCCAGCACGACGGCCACGATGTTCTTGCCAATGTCGTGGACGTCGCCCTTGACAGTGGCAATGACCATGGTGCCGTTGTACATGTCCGAGACATCGGCCGTGTTGGGGTCAATGCCCTGCTCGCGAAAGGCAGCATCGCGCTCGGCCTCCATAAAGGGGATCAGGTGGGCAACAGCGCGCTTCATGACACGGGCTGACTTGATGACCTGGGGCAGGAACATCTTGCCGGCGCCAAAGAGATCGCCGACGATGGACATGCCAGCCATGAGGGGCCCCTCAATCACGTTTAAGGGTTTGGGGTAGAGGGTAGTGTTGAGACGGGCCTCCTCGGTGTCCTCGACGACAAACTTGTCAATGCCCTTGACCAGGCTATGTTCGAGGCGCTTTTCCACGGGCAGGCTGCGCCACTCGTCGACCTTCTCGTCCTTTTTCACTTCGGCGGTCATGGACTGAGCAAAAGCCAACATCTTCTCGGTGGCGTCGGGGTCGCGGTTGAGGATGAGGTCCTCACAAAGCTTGACGAGCTTGGGATCAATCTCCGTGTAGATGGGCATAACGCCGGCATTGACAATACCAAAGTCCATGCCTTCCTTGATGGCATGGTACAGGAAGACGGAGTGCATGCTCTCGCGCACGGCGTTCATGCCACGGAAGGCAAAGCTGAGATTGGAAACGCCGCCGCTAATGTGGGCGCCGGGGCAGCTCTCGCGGATGGGGCGGATGCACTTGATAAAATTGACGCCGTAGTTGTCATGCTCCGCAATGCCAGTGCCGATGGTGAGGATGTTGGGGTCAAAGATGATGTCGTTGGGGTTGAAGCCCACCTCTTCAACGAGGATGCGGTAGGAGCGCTGGCAGATGCGGATCTTGCCATCAAGGTCAGCGGCCTGGCCGTCCTCGTCAAAGGCCATGACGACGACGGCAGCGCCGTAGCGCTTGATAATGGAGGCCTTGTTCTTGAAATCGTCAACGCCTTCCTTGAGGCTGATTGAGTTGACGATGCATTTGCCCTGGACGCATTCAAGGCCGGCCTTGACGACGTCAAAGTTGGATGAATCGATGCAAAGGGGCACGCGAGAAATGTCAGGCTCTGAGGCAATGAGGTTGCAAAAGGTGGTCATGGCCTTGATGCCATCCAACATGCCATCGTCCATGTTGATGTCAATCACTTGGGCGCCGTTCTCAACCTGGCTCTTGGCGACGGCCAGAGCGTCATCGTACTTGTTCTCCTTGATTAGGCGGCAGAAGCGGGCCGAGCCGGCCACGTTACAACGCTCACCAATGTTAACAAAGTTGGTGTTCTCACCAATGAGAAAGGTTTCCAGGCCGCAGAGCAGCATCTCATTTGGATGGGGCTTGGGTGGTCGGGGCCGAGGCGAGAACTTGCTGCACTTTTGCACGATGGATGCAATGTGCTCGGGCATGGTTCCACAGCAGCCACCTACACATGGGGAGGGTTCGAAGGGGAAGGGTAAGGGGGGGATTGGGCGGGTTTGAAGGTGTCAGGTTTTTTGGGGTGTGCTTGAAGTTATCAAAGGGGGAGGAAAAGGAGGAGAACGAGGAGGAGGAGAAGGAGGCAGGTTGATGGTTTGACCCGGGTGCAAAGGATAACGAACCGACAATGTTCAGGAGACCATCACGGGCAAAGGCCTCGACATGACTACCAGTGATCTCAGGCGTCTCGTCATAACCGCCCATGGCATTGGGCAGGCCAGCGTTGGGGTAGCAGATGATGTAGGCGTCAGTGGCCTTGGCAATTTCTTCCAAGTGGGGTCGCATGTCTTCGGCACCCAGGGCGCAATTGAGGCCGAGGGCCAGGGGGTTGGCGTGACTGACGCTGACGGTGAAGGCATCTGGGGTTTGACCCGAGAGGGTACGACCGGAGCGATCCGTGATGGTGCCGGAAATGAGAAGGGGGAGGCGGGGGTAGCCTTCTTCAACAAGAGCGTCGATGGCAAAGAGGGCAGCCTTGGCGTTGGCAGTATCGAAGATGGTTTCCACGAGGAGAATGTCAACGCCGCCCTCGATGAGGGCGCGAATCTGTTGCGAGTAGGCCTTGACCAGCTCTGGGAAGGTGATGTTGCGCAGCTCGGGTTGCTCGACCGAGGGGGAGATGGAGAGGGTGCGGTTGGTGGGGCCTACGGCACCGGCCACGTATTTCTTGCCGAGGCCTTCGGCTTGAATTTCGTCGCAAGCCCGGCGGGCCACGCGGGCGGCCTCTATGTTGAGGCGTTCAACCAGGTGTTCCATGGCGTAGTCGGCCTGGGAGATGACGTTGGCGTTGAAGGTGTTCGTCTCGACAATGTCAGCCCCGGCACGGAGGTAGCGCTTGTGCAGCTCCACAATATCATCGGGCATGGTCAGCACGAGGACATCGTTGTTGCCCTGGAGGGGCTTGGGGTGGGACTTGAACTCTTCACCTAAAAGTGGATTTCACGGGGCGCGGGCGGGCGAAGGGGCGAGAGGAGGTGATGATGACACTTGGTGCCAATCTTGGTGGCAAAAGGGAGAGAGGGGGCTGCCTACCTCGGAAGTTTTCTTCTTCAAGCTTGAGGGTCTGAATGAGCGTGCCCATGGCACCATCGAGAAACATGATGCGCTGCTGGAGAATGGCATCGAGCTCGGCCTTGATTTGTTCGCCGCGCTGTGCCATGTCTGCCGGGATGGAAGCTGCCGGCGCCATCGTTGCAGGTGGCGAAGGAAATTTGAGGCTGCTGATGGTCTACTAGAGCCGTTGGACGAGCCCGTGTCCAACAGATGCGTTCAAGCGCGAGATCGTCGTATCCAGCCTTTTCTGCAAGCCCGGCGACAGCAAAGGGCAACGTCGGAGTGAGCTGCCAAAGGCCAAGGACCTGTCAGATCAGAGCAAGCCGAGGATGCGGTTATGTCGTGTGTGTATGTGTGTGTATATATATGTGTGTGTGTGTGTGTGTGTGTGTGTGTGTGTGTGTGTGTGTGTGGGACAAGATCGGCGATGGGCTTGGGGACTCCACCGTCACGTTTGAGGCACAACGAAAGAGAGAGCGAGAGCGAGAGAGAGAGAGAGAGAGAGAGAGAGAGAGAGAGAGAGAGAGAGAGAGCTCGAGATAGGACGATGGCACGAGATGACGGGGCGAGAAGAAAATTTCGAGAAAAAAAAAAAAAAAGGTGTTAGGGGTTCAAAAGACGAGAAAAGACAAGGGCGGGCATGCACGGCAACGGCATGAGAGGTGGCATGCGACGAGACGGCCCCTGCCCGATGACCGGGCTGCCCTCGCTCGTTTGCCTTTTCAAAGCCTGCACTGCACGCTCTGGCAGGTGCTCCTTGTGTACCGCGTGTAAAGGTGTGAGGAAGGGGGCTGGCCTGTCTCTGATGCGTGGGCTTGTGCGGACGTGGGCTGTACACACGGCCATGTGTTGTTGCTTCACGCACGCGGTGATGGGACGGCACACTGCAACACGTCCAGTACCAGAAAACACCTCCGCGTCTCGGATCAACCGTCACACCTCAGATACCGTCAGCATGCGTCTGCGCGCTGCCGCCACTGAGAGAGAGATGAGAGAGATGAGAGAGATGAGAGAGTTTGAGAGAGTTTGAGAGAGAGAGAGAGAGAGAGAGTTTGAGAGAGAGAGTTTGAGAGAGAGAGAGAGAGAGTTTGAGAGAGAGAGTTTGAGAGAGAGAGAGAGAGAGATGAGAGAGACAGAGAGAGACAGAGAGACAGAGATAGAGAGAGACGAGTGAGAGAGAGAGAGAGAGAGAGAGAGGGATTTTTAGAGAGATTTAGAGAGGGTTTGGTACCTTCAGCTGTGATCGAAGAAATACACACACATACAACTCTCTGACACATCAAAAGATGTCAACATATATGTGTCACACTATGTCACACTTTCACAAAACAAAGTGTGACGTGTGTTAGATGTAGAGCAGCTGCGTTGGACTGCGCAGTCCTGAGCGTGGTGGCAGTGGCAGCGGCGAGGCAGGACCCAGTGGTAGTAGCGTGTGAGGGTTGTCGTCACATTTTTCTGGGACTCGATGTCAAGCTGGGACAAGGCGGGGGCGCGGGGCGAGGCGACACCTCACAACACCTGTCTCGCACCACCGGTATCACATCCCCGTACATGTGTGTAGACACACGTGACCTGCTCCTGCTGCTGCTGCTGCTATGCACGCCAGCGACGGGTTTTGCTGTGCCACGTCGAACGCGGCTTGTGCGAATATCTGACAATCTGACATTTGGAACAGATATCTGACATTTCGACATAAGTAATTTACTTTTAGACATGGTAAGTGGTAAGTGTAATCATTCCCACACTAGTCCGTGCATAGGACAAGGATGTGTCCTATTTTGCAAAGAACCTTCCTGAAGGAACAGAATCGGGTCAGGCAAAAAAAGGGGCATTGTTCATGTGTGACGATTCGCGTGGTCGGGTGTGGTAGCTCAGTAACCTAATTCTGTTTGAACGTGACTCTATGTGTGGCACAGGATGAAGCAGCGTATTGGACCCGTGGTGTGCCAGTGATCTCATCTCACATCATCCATCCCGGCCGCTGCACACACATGCGTTTTGGGTGTGGCAGCAGCCCCGAGCAACACCCGCTTGAGGATGCCGTTTCATCGCTGTTCCATGCGATCAGAGCTAAGCAAGGGACCTGCCTGCCTGCCTGCCTGCCTGCCTGCCTTGAAGTCGCCAGGGCCGTACGTACAGTTACCACAGCACACACACACACACGGTCTTCACACGCCACTCTCTCTATGATGATGACGGTGTGTGTGGTAGTGATATAGGCTGCTGATCTTTTGGGTATGACGAACGCTCTGTGCATGTGTGAAAGTGTTATCATTTATGTGTGGCGCTTTACGTGGAGATGCTACGTAAAATATGGTTTCACGTGTGATATCTTGACTTGTACGTATATGCGTTTATTCTCATATGTGTGTGCACACATTAAAGAGAGAGAGAGAGAGAGGGGCGTGTTGTTCATTTTTTTTTTCTTGTCAAGGGTGTGCGAAGGTACGTCATGCGACATGTGTGAGGCAGCGACGCGACGCGATGCGATGCGATGCTGTGCGAGGCGATGCGATGCGATGCGGGGTGATGGTTCAGTGGCGCTGGGTTGATGTTGCTGCTTGCTTGTGGTCGGGTGCCGAGTGCCTGGGGTGTGTGTGTGTACGCCTGTGGTGGCGGTCACTGCCTAGCGGGAGGGTCTCGGTCTTGTTGGCCCAGCGCTTGCACCACCCGTACAGTCTCAATTTGCCTGTGGCGCCCCCGCCCCCGTTGCTTGCACTCGATGTTGCAGGGACGGTCACGGACGCTTGGGCGCGGTGTGCCAAGCGGTGGTTGACTGCCGCAGTCGATAGTCCACTCCCCCCGCCTCAAACTCCCTCGGAAGGGCTCCATAGCATCATAATTTTTGTTTTCCTGGTTACGAGCCCAGTCTCGACATGGCCGTCGCCACAAACTTGCGTGCCCGCGAGCACGGCAAGGCATCCGCGGATCATGCAGTCACCCCGACCTCGGCCCCGGCCAGCAAGAAGGCTGCCCCTGAAGCCATGGAAATTGAGTTTGGTGGTCCCGTGGGTGCCGCCTTTCTCATCATCTGGTCACACTACATCCTCTTTTACTTTTGGTATTGCCTCGAGGTTGGTCACCCAGGCCCTGCTCCCTTCAACTACCCACCGACCTGCCTCTGAGCTATCACCTCACTTCCTTGCTGGTTGCAGGCCAACAAGGGTCACTTGGTTCTTCCCACCTCCATGAGCGAGCTCCAGTTTCATCTCTCCAACTTTGCATCCCTCTTCTGGACGCAAGCCCTGCCAACCCAGCACACCCTCATCGTCTATGGTATCTTTGTCTTTAGCCAGGTAACTATCATCTGCCCAGCCACAACCCGATCCAAAACCAGCCATGCGTGCTTTGATACCATTTATATTGATTCAGCAAACCGCCCGCCGATCTTGGGGCCTTGGGTCTGCACATAACAGCGCATCGCCTGATCCTGCGTTCGCCTCGCCTGTGCCACCCCGCCTCTGCCACGCCCCCATTTCTAGCTCTTCTTGGCCATGCTCCTTCCGGGCATGCGCATCAAGGGCCGCCAATTACCCACCGGCGAGCGCCTCGATTATCTCTGCAATGGCTTTGCCACCCTCTATGCCACCCTTGCCCTTGTCGCCACCCTCCACATCCTCGACATCTGGCGGCTAACCGATATCATGGACAATCTGGGCGCCTATGTTTCCACCAGCATCATTGTGGGCAACTCTGTCGCTCTCTTCTGGTATGATGGCTTTCCCACTTGCCGTCGCAAACAACCTCCTTGTGTACATGCTCTCGCTCAAGCGCGTTTACCGGGCTTGCCTCTGCCCCTCCTCAGGTACTTGTATGCTCGGCTGATCGGCCCTGTGGGTCGCCTCTCCGGCAATGCCCTCTATGATTTCTTCATGGGTGCCATCCTCAATCCTCGGGTGGGCATTGTTGATATCAAGATGGTGAGTCTCTTCATTCCTCGTGCTGCTCATCTACACCAACTACAGCATCAACAACGACATGCGCACAAACTAAAAACGGGGGAAAAAACAAAACAAAAAACAAACAAACAAACCGACGCTCCCGTCTTGCTCAAACCGCCTTGACCTGCATCCATATTGACTCAGGTGGCCGAGTGCCGTTGGTCCTGGTTGACCCTCTTGCTGCTGACAAGCTCGGCCGCACTCAAGGAATACGAGCTGTACGGTGCCATCAGCCCCAACATGGCCCTCATGGTCTTGGCCCACTGGCTCTACTGTAATGCAACCCACAAGGGTGAGCACTACATTCCTGCCACCTGGGACATTTACCATGAACAAGTATGCCCTTGATCCTGCTTGACCTGTCCGCTTATCTGAGCTCGTGCCGAGCCTCAGTCTGACTCTGCAATACACTCTGCTTGCTCGTGCAGTTTGGATGGATGCTGGCCTTTTGGAACTGCACCGGTGTGCCGTTCATGTACTGCTTCCAATCCATCTTCCTCCTCAAGAACCACGGCCACCCCGGTCTGGCTTTCAGTTGGCCCTACATTACCTTCCTCTTTGCCCTCTTGCTGGCGGCGTACTTTGTGTTTGACACTGGAAACGGCCAAAAGAGCGCCTTCAAGCTTCCCAACCTTGAACGCCCCTACGTCTTCCCAAACCTTCCTTACACCATCCTCAAGAACCCCAAGATCTTGCACACCCCGCACGGCGACCTCTTGGTGGATGGCTGGTACAAATACGCCCGCAAAGCCCAATGTAGGTCCATCTTCTCATCCTCCCCTTCTAAGCCACCGCTCAGGCAATTTCGCGCACTTTTTCTGCAGCTCACCTCGTATTGAATTCCTCGTATCCCATCCTAGACACGGCTGACATTGTAATGGCGCTCTGCTGGGGTCTGTCGTGCGGCTTTCTCAGCCTCACTCCTTACTTTTACGTGACCTTCTTCACGATCATGATCATTCATCGCCAAACCCGCGACGAGGCCCGCTGCTCCAAGAAATATGGCCAGTATTGGACTCAGTACGTCGCTGCTGCGATCATACGCACTTTCAATTACCGCGCAACACACAACCGCATTGTCGCAAAGCAAACACAACTCGTAGACAACCACTTGCAAAGGTCAAAAAATGTTGTTTGCCACTCCGCGCGCTCACTTCCTCTTTGCTCTTCCTGCCTGACTACCAACTCCTAGATACAAAAAGATGGTGCCCGCCGTCTTTATTCCCGGTCTTTTTTAAACACTCGGCTTGGGATTGATGTCGTGTCGCAAGCGCGACCCACGTCAAGGGTGTGCAAGCAAGCACCACTTCGTTAGGAATCAAGCACTCAAAATTCAGAACAAAACGCAAAAAAAAAAAAAAAAAGCAAAACAGCCAAAAGCTAACAACAACATCAACAATCAGACAAAACCCGAAATCAGCCCAAGCGTCATACATGTGCTGGTAGCACATTTTCATTCAAGTGTGCCACCATGAGATATGTGGAAACGATACACTTGCTTTCTTCAAACATGAGCGCAGAGCCTTGTAAAGGCCACGTTGGACTACATGTCGGCTGCAGCATCCATGGCTTCAACCAACTCATCGTCCATGAGTTCCTGACTCTGACCCGCACTGCTTGCTCCAACGGGGCTGTTAACCTGCTAGGGGCACACGTCAAGTAAAATGTGAGATGGGTACACACCAAAGCGAGCGGATGGGCCTGTCACAGGCGGTATATCTCACCTCTGTATTTGATTGACCGCCTAGGAAAGTCGTCTTGTGCTCGCCGTTTGTCAAGATTTGACGGCTGTCGTCAAAGTATTGGTTGGGGTGCTGAATACTCACGGTGTTGGGCTCGCACTAAATACACGCAAAGCAAGGCAGGGCAGGGTCAACATGAGTGTCGAGCACTTCCCGCACAGCAGCAAAAGAATCGGCTTTCCACGTCTCCATGAACTTTTGGTTTCGTTTCAGGGATACTGTACGGTTCACATACGTTATGCGTGACCTCGAAATATCGGCCGCAGGCAATTTGATAGTGATGCTCAGACACCAGCTTTGAAATCTACGCGTACAACAAGGGAGAGCATGTTTTTGAGCTACTGGCCGAGGCAAGTCTGATGCATCTTTTTTTTTTCCTTGGTCCGAAGAAAAACCAACCTCACTGATGGAGTTTGTGGGCACGCCGTAGGAATGCAGCTTCACACGCAAGTTCTCGGCATTGTAGTGCCTGAAAGGACAGCCATGGGCATCACCGGTACCGGGCTGTTCACCCATGATGATGCGCATGCAGCTGTACGGGGTGTAGTCGGCCCGCTTGCCCTCCTTGCCATAATTGTGGCGAATGTTGTATGCGTACTGCTTGTCAAACTACGGCACGAGGACACCGATCGACAAGCCTCGGGTTGAGCAAAACCTCATAAATGCAAGCACCGATCAAACAAAAACAAAAACAAAACAAAATAAAATTCAAGCTAGCAGCCGGACAACAGCCAAACCACTAAAGTAGAAGGTTCAACGTCAGCGAATGCCGCCCTCTGCACAGAAAAGAGACACACCTTGTCTATGGACATGGCGCGCGAGAACTCGGTGCGCCAGAACAAAAGGGCATCTTCCAGTGATAGCCCAATACCCTTGAGGAAAAGACCGTACTGCATACGAGCGCCATGGCGCAAATGATGGGCCTCGGCCAACTTCTCCTGAGCGGTGCGCATGCAAAGGGGAAAGGACTGCTTTGCAAGGCTTGGAATGTCGGCTGGCGCGACTTGGCCGGCGCGGCCCGCAGCATCCACGCGATACTCATTGCCGAGGTATCGTTGGCTGCCAAAATCGCGAATATTCACCCAAAATAGTGACAAATGAGCAGGAATATCAAGTGGGGTTTACACATTCTAGTAGCACTTGAAACCTAAAGCACAGCGCTGCCAAAGAGTTCCGCATACCTGAGTGAATTGAGCATGGGCAAGAGTCGCGAATCTTCCTCCAGGTCGGGGAGCGCTCGAGCGGTGGCGGCCAGAGAAGCCGAGAGTTGCAGACGAAAGGCGCCGACAATGATGGGGGTCATGTCTTCGCGAGGCACATAGACGTTGCCGTTGGAGATGTAATGTCTGCGTCCGCGCACGAGGTCGAGGGCTTGCTCAAAGGGTACCTGAATTCAACAGCAAAGTGCAAAGATCAGTTTCAAGGCCATTCTGGCGAAATGGCAGGAAGATGCGCACGGGGGATGGGTCAGGAAGACGGGCATCGCGCGTGCCTTGAAGTACTCTGTATTCTTCACATTGCCCCCCAAGTCTCCTCCGAGTGCAGCACTGCGTAGAAAACGGTCGATGCTCATTTTTTCTGTTTCATCCACCTGCAAACGACAAAGAATCAGTCCTCACAGGCCTCAGGAGCGCCTGCAAAGGCTGTGTCTGTCCAGGTGTCGCAAGGTGTAGATGGCTGGCGCTTTGTAATCATTCACTGACCACCGTGTACTTGAGGTTCTGAAGCTCGAGCAAATGGGTAATATCGTTTGCTGATTGATTCTCCAGTCGATAGCTACATCAATAACGACAGGAAAGAGTGGAGAGGGCAATGTCAACGACATGAAAGTTGGTTTGTTGGCCCGCTGTTTGGTTCCAGCGTCGAGGTGCGAGGCACACGAGGCGGTCAGGCGTACCGAAAGAGCTCACATTCCTGGGTGAGAAACCAGCGGCGGAGCTCCTCCCTGCATATAGGATCAAGACGCACACATCAGGGCAACCGGTCAGGCCCGGTGCGCCAGGACAAGTCAGCCATCTGAGAGTAAAGGACACACGTTCGACAGTAGGCAAGGCGCAGAATGAAGTGCGACACGTGATCGCGACGACGAATTTCCAGCGGGTTGGCTGCATCCTGTACTCGCGGTCATGGGTGCGCACGCGCGAGGCATGTCGAGATTGCCAGTTTTTGTCAGACGTGGAAACAACAGGAAACTGAGGGGCCAGCGCGGGTCAAGATCTGGACGGCCAGGGGAAAAACCAAGGCGGGGAGAGCGGGGAGAGCGGGGAGAGCGGGGAGAGTCTACACACTATTAGCGGCAAGAAAACTTTGGTCTTTTCGCGCATCTGAGCGCTGAACTTGTCATCCCGCGTGGGAAAGCGAATTTTCACCAGCTCAACATCCTTCAACACTGGGTAGCGGGCATTGTGTGAGAGGCGAGGACATGTGAGGATGAGAAATGAGTTTGAGGCAGTCTTGGCTGCAGCAGAGGCGGGGTTCTAAGCTGCAGGCTGGGTTGCCTTGTGCACGCGCTGCGTACCCTTGAGACGCTCGACGGCCAGACGCTCAAACTCCTCAAGTGAGACCTCGTCCACGGGTGGGAGGGTGTAAAATTGGAGCTGATGAGGATAGAGGTCGGGGTCAATGTCTCGACCGGGGCCTGTCTCGCCATAACGGGCCGACTAGCAAGCCGGCCGGGCGCATGAGAGGGCAAGCGAGAGTTTGAGAAGGGTGTGGACGTGGGATCAGGGCATCAGGTACGGTGCAGGAGCAGGGGATCGCACCGATTTGGAGCGCGAGGCCCGAGTCTTTCTGTCAACGTGAGTAGCCATGACCAGTCTATGCACCCAGACACCAGCCACACAGCATCGCGTGGTGCATTGTCAGTCTCGCTCATCAAGCGGTGGTCCGGTGCGCTCGGGCAAAAATTCTACCTGAGGGCGCAGGGTGTGGTGCTCCAGGCCGATTCTCCAACTGCGGGCGTTGAAAGACGAATTCAAGCGCAGGCTTCCTTTAAAAAAAAAGAAAGGGTCAAGGAAACCTTTCCCCAAAAAAAGGGCTGTTAGGCCTTCAGGTGGTCTGCCGTGCGCTCCCCCCTCCCGCGCGCGCGCGTTCTGTGTGTGTGTGTGTGTGTGTGTGTGTGTGTGTGTGTGTGTGTCAATGCCGTTGAATCGCGCAGCGGGTTGCGTTTCGGCGCCAAAATGAGAAAAGTCCGCGGGTAACGGTCACTAGTTTACGACACGGTCAAAACCCGTGTTGTAAATATACAAATTAGAGAATCACATTACTCTATACTACTTTAGAGGGGTGTATTGGAATTACGGTATGAACGGGCTTGTGTAAGGTTAGCTTTGAAAGCGTGTCATTCGTTACGGTTTGGTCGAGTCTGGTAGAGATAGGGGTGTTTGCACTGCATTTCTGAAGAGGGTGAGCATTCACCAATGAATATTTCAGGGAGGCGTTCAGACTCGGTATAGCAGTATAGCAAGAAGATAAGGCGTTTTCAGAGATGACGTCTCTAGCATGAGCTGCCCAAGAGAAATTCCCCCGCGCCTTTTCCCAGGTAGAGATAGCTCACCAGCTGATTCACACGCAAATCGTTGCACAACACTGTGTTCAAAAAAAAAAAAAAAAAAAAGCGCGCGCATGCGCACTTCACAGACGACGACGACGTGCGCGCCCCGCACACACACACACACACACACACACACGCGCGCGCTCGGTCACAGGCTACGGATACAGGATATAGATATAGGCAATCGCGGCGCGATGGAGACACCTGTGGTTGGCGTCTTGGGTGGCGGGCAGCTGGGGCGGATGCTGGCTGAGGCTGGGCACCGGCTGGGCATCAAGGTTGTGGTGCTGGATCCGTTGGGTGAGGCATCGCCGGCGGGTCAGGTGACGCACGGGGCGATCCAGGGCAGCTTTAATGATGCTGAGAAGATTCAGGAGCTGGCACGCCAGGTCGGCGTGCTGACGGTCGAGATCGAGCATGTCAATTGTGACGCGTTGGATGCCGTCGTGGCCGCAGGCACGCCCGTGCAGCCGTCCCCGCACAGCATTCGCCTGATTCAGGACAAGTTTGCGCAGAAGCAGCACTTTGCCGCCCATAATTTGCCCCTCGGAGCTTATCGGGAGGTTGCATCGGCCGAGGACGTGGCCGCGGCGGGCCAAAGCTTTGGCTACCCCCTCATGCTCAAGTCCAAGCGCATGGCCTACGATGGCAAGGGCAATGCCGTGGTGGCCAACGAGGTGCGTCAACGCGTGCCTGCGCGCCACTCTTCTTCCCAAACTCTGCTGCGTCGGGCTTGCTGTGTCCCGCGTGCCCACGTCTTCTTTCTTCACCCACTCCCCATGACAAACCTGCTTTCTGTACCTCCGCTTCTCATGGTGGCTTCGTTTGTCTGAGTGCAGGAAGGGATTGGTGCCGCCATGGAGGCACTCAAGTCCACTGACTTGTACGTGGAGCAGTGGGTGCCCTTTGTCAAGGAGCTGGCTGTTATGGTGGTCCGCGGGGCCACCGGGGAGGTCACCGCTTACCCCGTCGTCGAAACCCGCCAACAAGACAGCATCTGCCACACCGTGCTTGCCCCGGCTGCCTCGACTCAAGACGTGCAGCAGCGCGCAACCAACATCGCCTGCAAGACCGTTGCAGCACTCGAGGGCGCCGGCGTATTTGGCGTCGAACTCTTTGAGCTTGAGGATGGCCGCGTGCTGCTCAACGAGGTGGCTCCTCGTCCTCACAATTCGGGCCACTACACTATCGAGGCCTGCGAGGTGGATCAATTCGAGGCCCACTTGCGTGCCATTGTCGGCCTGCCCGTTGAAGGGACCCGCCTCGCTGTCGGTGCTTCCCTCATGCTCAACATCCTTGGTACTGGTCAAGCCGCCGATGCTCAAGCGCTGATGCAGACCGCCATGTCCACCCCAGGCGCTCGCCTTCACTGGTACGGCAAGGCTGGTGACCGTCCTGGACGCAAGCTTGGCCATATCACTCTGGTGGCCGACGACATCTCAGACTTGCGCGAGCGCCTGGTTCAGCTCTCCCCCAATACGGCACAGGAGGTGCTGTACGGTGCTGGCTCGCGTGTCGGCATCATCATGGGCTCCGACTCGGACCTTCCCACCATGCAAGCCGCCGCCCGCGTCCTCGATGACCTCAACATTGCCTACGATCTCACCATCGTCTCCGCACACCGCACCCCGGACCGCATGGTGCGTTACGCCGAGACTGCCGTGGACCGTGGCCTCAAGGTCATCATCGCTGGCGCCGGTGGTGCCGCCCATCTTCCCGGCATGGTGGCAGCAATGACCCCGCTGCCGGTTATTGGCGTGCCCATCAAAACGTCCACGCTCAGCGGAGTTGACTCGCTGCACTCCATCGTGCAAATGCCGCGCGGCGTCCCCGTGGCTACCGTGGCCATTGGTAACGCCATGAACGCCGGTCTCTTGGCGGCTCGCATCCTGGGTGCCACCAACCCAGCAATTCAGCAAAGGCTGGAGCAGTTTCGCGAAGATTCAAAGGCCGAGGTTTTGGACAAGGCCGCACGACTCGAGGAGGTGGGCTACGAGCAATATCTCGCTACCACAGCCACCCGGGAAGTCAAATAACTCCGGTATCTGGCTTTTGGTCCACTGTTTAGTCGTCTCTTCATCTACATGTCTTTTGATTCCGTTGGCTCGAGGTTCGGGCCAACTTGAGAGTTGGATCGTAGTCGACCTGCTCTCTTCTTTGCTGCCTCTCAACTTCCCCCATCTATATGGTTGGGAGTCAAATCGTATTCGTTTTCTTTGATTAAGATGCATTTACATGTCAATAATATTATCATTTCGCGATGGTCCTTGACAAACCGTCACGCGTCTCTACACTTGCGTTTGGTGGAGCGCGCATATTGTATTGTAAGATCAGAGAAGGGTGCAAGGGAGGCGGCTCCAGACGGCGAGGAAGCGGTAGGCTATAAATGGAACCATCGGGTGACGAACACAGGGAAACGCAAGGTTGGCTCTAACAGCAAAAACATTCGCAGGCTCGCTTTGACAAGTCTTCGCCAAGTGGCAAGCTCTTCACAGCGACATTAACAAACGAGAGAGCTACAACGGTGCGTCATGTTGCTCACGCCAGCTGCTCTGCAATATTTCCAGGCGTCTGATGGGGTGGTTTTCTCGAAGCAGAATGTCCAGTTCCCCGCGCAAGACCCAGGCACCGACCCTGCAAAGCCGCACCAGTACGAATAAGACCAACACAGCTATATCCAGCCGTGCACAAGCAAACATGTTTGGCGCACCAATAAATGGCAGCAACAGGATCCTCTGGCGGCTCGCCAAAGTGAAGCGAAATTTGCAGGCGCTGGAAAGGAGCCAAACTTTGCCATATGCTCGAAGGGCCTATAAATTCATGAAGCCCTTCGCGCAGTGCCGCCTGTTCGTTGTCTGTCAAAGGGACATCCTCAAGCCATTCGACCTGGGGCGGGTAGACCGGCCGTATGTCAGATGAGATCAGCAGCGGCGATGGAGTGGAGTCTGCGAGGTTGGTTTGCGTTGATGCGACCAGTAGACAAACCTGAGCAACGTTGTAGCCATCCTTGACGCTTCTTGACAGGATGTGAAAGCGACGAGTGCCCAAGCACTCAACATGCAGGCAGCCATCAGCCGTCGGCTCGTGCCTCAAGATGCGCAAGGTGGTGCCGTAATCAGCATAACCATCCATTGTGGCGCCGCACATGCCAAATTCGCGCCGGTCTGTGGCCAAAACCCGGCGCATCATCAATCGGTAACGAGGCTCAAACACACGCAGCGGATAGGTCAAGCCGGGCGCCGTCTATCATCATCAAGAAGGCAGAAAGGCAAGCAACCACCAAACCGTTGGCTATGGGTGAGTAGAGTGTTCAGCAAAAGACTTGCAAAAGGCTTGCTTCTCATCAATCCCCCCCCTTCACTTGTGCAGCGATCATCGTGCTGGCACGGGCAAGCCTTGTCTTTCGGCAAAAAAGAAGAAGGAAATAAAATAAAAAGACACAGGAAAAGTCCGTGGTGAGGGGACGTACAGGGGTGCAGACGAAAATGGGCAAGTTTTGTTCTAGTTCCTCCAATTCAGCCTGCTCGTCTCGAGCACGCCGAGCTGCTTCAGTTGGAAAAACATGGCGAATGATCGGCGCGAGTGCCTTGACCTACGTTTTACATTCATATTCACGGCATCAGAGGAAAAAAACACAAACAAAACAAACAAAAAACCAATAATAAAAACAACACAGTACTGCAGGGCCAGTGTCATCCATCGGCCCAAACGGGATTGTTTTGTAGCAACGGGCAGGATACCTCGCAAAATTGCCGGGCAGCCAGAAAGTCAGCCAGGTCGGCACGACAGACCGGGCATTCGGGCTTGTGATCCAGGGTGCGCAGCACGCAGCTACGACAGAGCATGTGGCCGCATGGCAAGGCGATGGAACGCCATAGAAGGTCGTAGCACAGCTCGCACTCCAAATCGGCAAGTTCTAGTCGCTGCTGGCACAGCAGCAGGAGTTCGCTGTGGGCGACGGGCACAGCGGTATGGGGCTTGGTCTGGGCAAAGCTCACTGCCGCATCGAGAATGACTTGAAGGTCAGCAGCCCTGGCAGCGCACCGGTTGGACCAAGCTGCGGCATCTGGCTGCTCTGTAGAGGTCTGCACGGGCTCGGGTGAGCCACAGCAGGCTTCCACCCATGCCC